AGACCAGTTGCCAGGATGCCGCAATGACGACGAGAGCGCGTGGAATGCATAAAATGCCAGGCTAAGAACCCATTTCTCAGCTGGCAAGAGGTGGCTGAGACGTGGAGCCACTTCCTCCAGGAATCGATTGATTTTTTATGACTCTACGACGGCTATGCGTCACTTGCTCGCTCAGAATTCATATGCGGTGCTCCGGAATTCAGATGTCCTTGCACTTTCTCTAATTAAAGTAGCTGCCGTCAATGGCCATAAATTTGCCACAAATGTCCTGCAAAAGGGCAGACTCTATACCTGACACTTTTCAAAGTTATGTTTAGAAAGGATTGGTGATAATTTTCTTTTCGTTTGGTTTTTAGAGCCTTTAAAGTTACTTTAACTATAAAGGGTGTTCTTAACTGGAAAACAACTAACATGGTATTTAGGAATCATCCTTTAAGGACTATTTCTTGTGTAATGTTATCCCATTAAGCCAAATAATCATAAGATCTTAAATCCTTACGCCCCTACATGACATTATTCATAAATTTTGTGTACTTGTCCAAGGTCCTTGTGGCATCTTATCCAGGCATTGACAGTGACTCCCATGGACCTTGGCTCAATAAAATTCGAACTATCTACTTATGGCTAAAACCAGTGAGCCAAAAACAGAACAGAAATCGAATTAAATGCCAGGCGACGTGTGGCGAGATGAGGTTGCAAGCAAAGTTGCCAATTTGTGCGTGGGGTTTCCCGAGGGCATCACTTGGCGTCACAAAAATGTAGGTCGAGGACAGGATATATGGGAGTCGAGTCCTGGAGGAGGTCCGGCACTTGGTTGGCTTTTTGCGGCAATTATGAATGAAATCCTTTCAGGAACGAGTTCCGTTTCACCGGCAGCACCATTTTATGTTCGAAGGTCGCTACTCCCTCACTCTCTTTCTCTCTTTGGAGCGTTCTGTCTCGCTCTGGACTTGGACCAAGGTTTCCTGGCTGGGACCCGGCTCAGCTCCCGTTGCGGTAAACGTCATCGTAGTCGGATGGCCTCCGGGCCAGGCGTTAACCTTCGACCGGCGACTGCATCACTCGATTTGTGAATGAAAACAGGGTCAAATATTAACCGCTTGCTAACTAATTTATTTTTACAATCTGTCATTAATTAAATGAATTATATTTTTAATAAATAACTAAGCTATATGAAGAGGAAATATTCACTATCTATGTCACATTGTTCGCTTCTTAAAATATTATTTTTACATTTTTTCCAAAACTTTCCAAAAAAAAGTAATACAATTAAACATTCCATTTTATTTCTAGTTTATTATCACTTGCTGTTTTTTTTATGTACAGGACTAATTAATATGAGCCGCTTGGTTATCCTTTGTTATCCTTTAGGCCTTTTCTCGCTTTGACAAATTGTACGTGCATTGGCCCAGTTATTTGTGTTCATTCGCTTGGTCGCTCGACTGCGTTGGAAATAAATGTTTTGTTTATTTTTCGGTTTCTTCTATTTGGGTCGGTCCAGGCACGTAGTTCGTGGGGCTCGTTATTCCAGAAAACTGACTGTAAATGTCAGCTTATGCATTCACTTTGGGTCAGTTCTTATAAATAATTAAAGGCCCCCCGGGACTAGGCCTAAAGAGCCCCCAGTACATGGCTAATTACTCGAAGGCACACTGTCGGTAGCTAAGTGGTAGCGCTGTAATTTATGTTCATGGCGAGATAAGTACTTCAAAGGACCTCGAACCTGAATAAAGTACTGGAGTGTCTGAGGCAACGTGTGACTTATTCATGTGTTTCTGCCTTTAAGATATATCCCATATTTTTTGATGCATTGACCCAAATATTTTATTACTAGTACGCACCGTCCTAGGCCGCAAATCAATTTATGATAAGTACGAGTATGTATGGATTATTTAAGTTGTCCTCTCCCCCAATCCATGGAGAGCCTTGCCAATCTACATAGCCTATTTTGCGGCACCCCTTGTCAGATGTCGCAGTGAAATGTAGACATTTTGCTTAAGTATTGGGTTCAATTACCGAAACACAAGCTGCATACCTAATGAGGACTGGTATCCTGCGCAGGATAGCCCCGAGTCTCTCCATGATTGTTCACACGTAGCCTGATATTTGGGTCAAAGTGCGAATTAGCATAAGTGATGCCCGGCCCTAGTGAGGGTATCTCCCGTGCCTGCCAATGCGAAATGATTTAATTTGAACTAAAAATAGCGGCTCGTGTTACTCAAAGAACAGCAGCCTCTTGAAAATTTCATTAAATTTCGTTCCCCTACTTGGGGGTCGGCGAATACATCTTACTTGAGAAATGAAATTACGGACGGAGTGCCATTAAAAAACGGGAGAAACAACAAAGATAACAAGCAGGAAACATGAGCAATAAAAATACACAATAAAAAATGAGAAAAGCGTAAAATGATGAGAGGGAAACCAGGAGCCATGTTGATGATGGGATGGCGAAAGGTAAACAAGTTTCAAGTAAATATTGACATGGAAGTCAGCCTCATATAAGCCCGGAGAGCAGCGCTTATGCTTGTTCTCAGATGGAAATAAAATGAAAACGATGAGGGCCTTCCCCATTCCTGAGGAAGCCTGCCTTGCCCCAAAATGTTGCCCGAAAGTGAAGGTCGCCACTAAAAGACAGTCGAAAAGTTGACACAGCCAGCCGCAAGTTCAGATTGTTTCTGCAACTTTGTCTGCCACGAGTTTCCCACGTTCATGTTCATGTGCTGAAGAGCCCGAAGAAAGATTAATTATTTTGGCACTGTCTGTACATTGCGGCTTGTTTGTAGCTACCCTGTACTAGAAGTCTTCCAGTTGGGTAGATGAAGCTCAAGAGAAGACTTGACAGGTTTGGGGATTCATGCGTAGAAATTCTTAGCCTTCTCTCAATACTTTCTTTTACTTTTTCACCAAAAATATATATTAATGGGCATCAGGCAAGACCTAACACCCAAGGCAAAGTATGTTGGCAACAAGTTGACCGCATCCTTGATCCCTCTCCGCCGTAAGATTTCATGCCAGGCGCGTGGAGCAAATTAACACGCCCTGCCTCGTAAAGAGTCCTCATGCCGATGAATAAATGTGGTGGAAGTGGGGGTGGTGGAGGGCTAAGTGAGGCAACTCCTTGCCAGAAGTTAATGCCGCGTAACCTGTTAAAAGAAAGCCCGTGTTCGATGCCCCCGTGAGCTTCCCAGCATTACCTTGTGGGGCCATAAACGGAGCAACTGGAGATGCCACCAGCAGAAGGGAAAATAAAACTTATTCCCGTTTATTATTAATAAGCAAAAAGCCGGCACAACATACATGGAAATGCCTCCAAGGATGGGAGAGGAAATCCAACTCCTTATAGAAATAGCTGAGGAAATGCTAAAAATATTCATCCCCGGAAAGGAAACTTAAATAAATGCTTAAAAATAGAGCTATTCATGGCCAAGGGAGACAGCTGCTGAGGAATGCCATATTAAAGGCAGTCAGCCGCAGAATGAGAGGGCTGGGAGCCAAGGAAACTAGTCCTGAATACTGTCAAAATGATTACGTGACTGCGGTTGGGTGCTAGAAGTGCTCACTTTATTGTTACGAGTGTTTGCAATTTCAAGCGAAATGCCAAGGGACAGAGTGGAACCGGCCAACGGGTCGTATGAGCAACAATCACAGCTGTAAAAATCACACATACGCCCCGCAGTCCCTCCTATTCCGTTAAGTTCAGTGGGATCTGTGCGGCACAATTGGTTGCGTATCTTTTTATCTCACTTTAATGCCCCCACATTTGTCGACTGTCAGCGGGAATTAGGTCAAAGGATATTTTTAGACGACGACGACGGCAGAGACTATGTAGTGTGCGGGCCAATTTCGGGTGATGGGAATGTGTTGCAAAAATATTTAGATTCCGACATTTTTCATCAACTTTTCGGTCACGTCATGGCCGGGATACTAATGTGTGTGAGTGTGGTGTGTGGAGTGTTCGTGTTGCATGTAATTTGTTCCCCAGCCAACAACCGAAACAACAAATCAGCAGGAACATGAGACGCCGCCACTCGAGTGCGTGACTGTTGCGGCCATTTAGCGGCGGGAACTTCGATTGGCCATTAAATCGGGCCGAAAGTGAAAACCAAATAGTCTCCCAGGGAAAGCCCCCCTGCATGAAAGTTAATGCCTCAAACATTCCTGCTAATTTCGTTAATTTGTTGCCGAATTTGATTTGGCAAGCAGATGGATTTTTATGATGATTGTTCGCTTTCAATTTGTGTGGCAGCCCCCATCCCATCTCACTCGGTACTTCCCATTGGGAACTTGCCATTAATTTGAAATCTGTCGCTCAGCCACAAATCAATCAATGCAAAATACGAGTAGATGCCTCCGCTGCATGCCCCACCAATACGCTGTCAAACAAACTGTCAGTGCGCACTCGGTTGCTTTTATTGCGGTCGGGACTGGAACCGGTCTCGGGTTATTCGATATTTATTGTCTGCCAGTTCAGATGGAATCGTATTAATCAAACGCCTTCAGACGTCCTCAGACTCATTATAAATTCAACATGAATCCCGCATCAAGATTTCCAGCCGAACCGCTGCCTTGACAACCGAATAGTAGCAGAACGACTCACAAATCCTGATGGCAATTCAATCGTTGACCTACTTTCCTGGACACAACACATTATTATTTATTTTTATACTTTTTGGCAACTTTTCTGGCTACTGTTCGATTCTGGGAGGTTCATCCGTGCGTTATGGTCGGCAGAGCGGGTTCAATTGGCTCGCCTAATTGCAGTTTCCACATAATAATCATAATGCCATGTGTGTGTCATTGATTTGTAGCTATTTTGGTAAACTTTTTATGGGAAAAACTTTGCGATTGGTGTCACAGAAGATGAAGATAAAGTGCTCCATAAAGTATACACCCAACGATGTTGTAAGTCTGCGATGATTATGGTATAATTATCAATATTGGATGCAAATAAAAGACAGTTTTTGGTGTAAATTATTTCACTTTTATTGAACTCTCTTTGCTCGAGGCTATTGGCCTTCAAATGATTACAATTCTTCTGCTTTTTCTGCTTGGCTGCTGCTTAGGTAAATAGTTAATTATAAGATGCTGCTGTATATATGTTCTGTATATTAATGCTGATATTGTTCTGTATAACCCATCAACGTTATTGCTTTGGCTTATGATTCAATGCTAATGCATTCGTACAAGTATATATAGTAGGCCTTGGTTTGTAATTTCTTAATATTTCTTCTCTATAAACTGTAAATGTGTATAACGGCTAAAGTAATGTATATCTTGAATACTTGTTAAGTCAGTTGCGCGGCTGCTTCGGCTATATACTCTACGTCTGAACGCTACTTGCTCGAGTGCTGGGTCTAAGTACTTGGATTCTATGCATAAACTCTACTTGGTTTGGCAAATAATTTTGATTTGAATAAAGGTTCTTAAGGTAAACAATCAAAGTGTCTTAAGGTTTTAGGATTTTGCGGAACAAATACTTAAATGCTCGTCAATTTTGATCCCATTAAACAGTTACAAAGGAAATTACATTAACTTATCTTGTATATTTTTATAGTTTAGTTTAATTTTTGGAACAAATACTTATGTGAATCTTTGTTTGCTTTGACTTTTGATAAAGGCACGAATTGTATAAGAATCTATACAAAAGGAAATCTATTGTGACTTTTACACTCAATCAATCAAACCTTTAAAGTTTTAACTTGAGATCTTCCATCTCAATATTTTTATTCTTTTATTTTTTAGTGTTTACAGTCTTCGGTATGCGTGACATGATCTTATTCTAGCATCAAAGCGGTGACGAATGCGTGTATATTGTATATTTTCATGACGAGTTCTACGCTTCTACTTTAATTTTTGTAATATATCTCGTAAGTGCAAAAGTTAATCAAATTTTTATAAAATTCTTATCATTCCAATGGTTTTGTTTTTAATTCTTTTATATTTTTACCAATTTTACCGACGGTTGTGAGAAGACTTTTGGATATGATGGATTTATCAGGATAAAGGAAGGGAGTTTCAAGGATGCTCTCTAGGATGGGGGAAAATTCTTGTATCACAGATTTTGAAATGAATTTTGGGAGCCAGGGTAGATGCACTAAAAGCTAAATGAATTCTAAACAGCTTCTTGAGCAAAGTATTTAGTACTTAAGCTGTTTTTTAAGTTAATTTAAAATGTAGATTTTTTAAATCTATTAATGATTATAATTTAGTAATTATATTTTTAAATGATCATCTTATTAGGCTAGGATTTTAAAAAGAATTAAATAAAAGAAAGAAAACAAGGAATATTTATCTGGGTTTTTATACCGGCTGTTATAGATGATTTGGGACGTCCTGGAGGATCCTCAACGCCTGGCATACTGGCAGCAGACAGAGCTGCGCGGCACCCGCTGCGTCGGCAGACCGGACATGCCCTTCAGATATGTGTAGGATACGGGCTGGCGCAGAATCCTCTGGGGCGGCGGCTTCTGCTTGCTTTTGGACCCCGAGCTCGAGGTGGAGGACGACCTGCCCGCCGGGTGAGGGTGCTGGTGCTGATGCTGATGATTCTGCTGTCTGTTGAGTTCCACGTTCGAGGCGGACTTGAGGGCTGACTTCAGAGGCAAGGCGGCTGCTGGCTGGATCGCGGAGGGGGGTGGTGGCGGCGAGGGGCCGCTGCAGGAGAGCGAGCGAGAGGTCAGCGAGAGGCTTTCGAAGGCGCGACGCAGCGAGGACGTGGAGCGCCGGTGCAGGCGCGAAAAGCTGGCTCGACTAACGGGCTTCTTTTTGGCCTGCAACTGCTCCTGCTGCTGTTGTTGTTGTTGTTGCTGGAGCTGAAGTTGCTGTTCCTGCTGCTCCTCGATGTCCAGGGTGCTGCTGGTTTCGCTGGAGGCGCAGGACATGGACATCAGTTCCAGACGCGACTGCTGAGCGTTGCTGAGGCCACGCCCCGAGGAGCACGAGTCGGTCGATGAACTGTGGGCATCCTCTTCCAGCAGAGTGCCTCCTGCACCGGCTCCGGCCCCCTTGGCCGCCGTGGATGTTGCAACTGCAGCTGCGTCATCCGATTGAACTAGGTCATCCTGCGACCTCAGGCCGAAGCGACGGCTCAGCTGCCGAAAGAAGCCCAGATTGCGTTCGTAGCGCGGCGTGGGCGAGACGCTCAAGCTGCCGCCCGGCGAGGGCGTGGAAGTGCCGTAGCCCACTTCCAATTTGCTGAGACTGTTGTTGTTGTTCAGGCTTCCATTGCTGGCGCTCATATGTTGTTGTTGTTGCTGTTGTTGTTGCTGCTGCTGTTGCGGCAACTCATCGGCGAAGCAAACATGCGGGGTTCCCATTGTCGTCCACCGTTGCGTATGAGTAATTTCCTTATCGGGCCGGAGACTAAAGTGCCGCCCGTGCGTATGTGTAATATCCTTGCTTAGAGGACTGCACTTCCGCCGCCTTTCCGTTTCCGGGCAAGTAATAGGGCCCTCTCTCCTTCTCTTGCACTTCCTTTGTTATTGTAACCGGTGTCTGAGACTGTTTATCTTTGTCTTCGAGAATGCCGAGAGCACGAGAGAACGAGAAGGCGAACCGACTGGGCACGTTGTCCTGCCGCTTGTGAGGCGGCAAATCGGAAGCCGCTGCCTTTTATAGCCTCGCCCGGCACTCTGCAAAGTGTCCTCGGAGAGCACTGTCGGCCGCCAGCCGGAGAGAGCGCTCCTGCAAGCCTTGCTCCATTTCCCGCTCTGCCCGGCCGCCATCACTCCCTTTCTCTCTGCTTCCGCTGTCGCCTTTGTCTTTCTTCCTGCATTGTTGCCTAATATTAAAACGGGAAGCGAAATTCTGTTTACCGTTGTTTCTTCTCATTTCTCTGTGTTTGTTTGAATTGCTGGTGCCGCTGGCCGCCAGGTGGTGTCAATGCACGTCGTGGCGGTGGGAAGATGGCTGATCATATCCGGTACGGTTCAGAGGGTATAGTATGTCCTTCATATCCATTGGTCTTCATTTAATTTTGTAAAGTTTGTAAGGTTTATTTTGTAAAGTTAAGCAGTTATATATATTATAATCTTTTTACTGTGAACTCCAAAAAATGATATTATATATGTCTATAGGGTATAAGTTATTCGAATTCCTCTACTTTATCCCTTAGGGCTACTCGTTCCTTTGTCTCTAATTGTTTTCGTTTGGACTCTCCCCTCAAAGTCATCAATTCTTAATCAGCCAGACGTTTTCATTTCACTTTGTTCCGTTTGACTTTCTCGGTTGATTTAATTTGTTTTTGTCAAAAATAGCCCTGAGTAGCTGAAGCTGAAGCGAAGGCTTATTTTGCCTAAAATATCCTTGCCGTTGACATGTTTGAAGGACTGTAAGGGGCGCTACTTGGGAAACTAAGAGGGGCTCCTTTGCAGAAGCTGCCCAAGACGCGCTTTATCATTTTAGGTTTATTAAAATTTTCCCACACTTCATATAGATATAGATTGGGTCCTGCCTATGATGTCTTTGTTGGTGTTGCTTTTAATTTAATTGCGCCCGAAATTGATTTTAATGCGCTATAAATAAAGTCGAATGCCAATTTTACGAGACGCATTTTAAGACAAGCTAAGACGACGGCGGCTTAATGAAGTCCTTTGTTTTGACTTTGTGATGGAAAAAATGGAAGGTGGAGGCGGAGTGGGAGACTAGAAATCAGGACGTGTCCGCACACCCACATCCTACGAAAATCCTGAACATCTAATTAGAGGCGCAATTGTTGACACCCACTGACGTCAGAGCGGACACCGATTTAGCGCTTATCGCCGTTGTTTTGGCCAAAATTACACAACTTGGAATTCAATTTGGCCCGAAGGATGGGCGCGAAGTGGGGGGACTCTTTTGTCGCCGGCTTGTCAAGCGCTTGTCGTATCCATTTAGCAGCGAATTAACTCATTTAGACTTAATCAAGTTGGCCAACAGATAAATGAAGGGGCTTAGCTGTTGTCCTGCCAGTCATTGACCCTAAATTTCAAATAAACTTTGAAACTTTGTGTTTGATTTGAAATGTCAACAAAGGGGGAAGTATAAACCTTAGCTTCTTACAATAATAACTCTATATTTTAAAATTAAAATAATTAACCTTGGCCTTTAATGTTTTCAAAGAATTCAAGCATAAAGCATTTTTCATCTACCCGGAACATTTATCAATAAGAATAATATTTTAATTTAATGAAAACATTAACGATTCCCTTATAACGATTCCCGATAGAATTCTCAGAACGCTTGCAATGTTATCCTCGCCGCAGAGAGTCCTTCGAGGAATAACCAGAAGCATCTGGTGAACCCCAACCATTTCCGATTCCCTGGACATCAAATATTAAAACGCAGTAGTATTCCGCCGAATCAAAACAATCCCGTAAAATATACGAAATTTATTTCGCAACTGCGTCATAAAACTATTTGGCGAGTGGATTTGGTCATTGTTTTGGTGTTTTGTTTACGGGAATTCGGGTTAGAGGCCTGTTTGTTTGTTTGCAGATAAATCATGCATTTTAATTTGATTTCTTAGGACACTGTGTGGCGTTCCAAGTGTGCCAAGGATGCGGATACCCGTTGTTTGTTATTCTAAAATTGAAAAAAGCAAGCCCCAAAAGGGTTCAAAGATACAACGACCTCGAAATGAGGTCTATCGAGCGGGGGGCGATCGGAGAAGGACCTTGGCGAGAGGTCCATTGGCTAACCTAAATAATTGAGGTGTCATCAAAATTTTAAACGCTGCCATTTGTCACGCCCAGGGAGTGCAGTGCCGCCGATTAACGTCACAGTATTCGTATGTCAAAACTATAAGGTCGAGTCCTTCGGCAACTTGATTTTGAGGACTTTGCCTACATCATCAGACCGAGTCGTTGCCGCCAACAAAAGCAACAAGGATGGCGAGGCAGTGTCCTCATCCTGGCACACATTCGCGACCGTTCTCAGAGAACAGTTTCGCAGACTGTTACCCAAACAAACGGAGGCCACGTGCAGGATACGCTCTCTTTGGGTCGCTGGCTCGCTCTCTCGTCGCAAGCTTTTGCCTACGTTAACGGTGTCCTTAAGCTTTTCGCTTAACCGTTACGAATTCAAGCTGCCTTGGGCCGACAAAATGAAGTTCATTCGCCATTTTACCTTGGTTTTTAATGAAAGACCGTTGTATTTTTAGATTTTTTAATAGTCATGTATATTTTATTTTATTGACAGCTAGACTTAATTGTTAGATTATCTCTGTTCATGTTAGGATCTAAAAATATATGGGCTCTAAACATTTTGCTATGTTCTTATTATCATCTACCATATCATATACTTTAGCATGATATACTTTATTATTTAGAATAATTTTTGCTTTAAAAAATCTTGTTTTTCTTCGTTTGGTTTGGAAAGTGAATTATTGTAAAATTTTCATTATTAGTATTTTTTCAAGAGCTTCGTTTCTTATCGATTCGTAAGTTTTTGGTTTGCTTGTATAAATTCGTCAAATTTTGGTTTTTAATTATGTAAGTTGTGGAAATTAGTGCAAAGTATATTTAAAACTAGCTTAAAGGTGCAAAAGTTGTCTTCCCTTCAAAACATAGTTAAAACTAGTTTATTACTCTTGTTTTTTTTCTCAACTAAAGTTTGTGTTTCAAGGATTACTTTCCAAAGATATGTTGGGGCCTCTATATAACATTTTGATTTACATTGAAGCTAAATTTAATCTATCCCGTGTAAACTGAAAGTCCCTAAATTAGCCAAAGACAATTAGATCGTCTATGGTCTGTATCGTAGCACATACAGGTGTGGATATATAGGTATTTGATTTCCGGGGCGTAGTATTTTAGGTACACTTATTGGGCCCAGTTCGCTTTTTGTTTCCGTTTTTTTTTTGCGAACTCAGCTGTGACACATTTATAAAATATGTTCGCTGTATATATTATTCTGTCTTCCCATTTAACCCTTTCCGCTATTCAGATCTCAATTTTCAGGCACTACTCGTACATCACTAGGAATTCCTAAATTTATATTCTCAAGACCCCCAACCAGCTTTCAGCTTGCCCCGATTTACCCTTATGTCCTATTTACTCTAAGTGGATGTCTAATACATGTGCTGGAGGGTGTAGGGATAGCAGACCGCGTAGCTGGGCACCCGGGAGTAGAGGCCCGACATGCCCTTCATGTAGACGTACTGGACTGGCGGCCGCAGGATGCTCTGCTGCTTCTTCTCCTTCTTGGAGGCTGGGGCGCCGCAGGACTTGGAGCTGCTGGAGTGGCTGCTACTGCTGCTGCTGTTGGAGTTGTGGGGCGACAGGGACTTCTTGGGCTGCCGGAGCGGAGTGCTGCTGCAGGACAGCGACCGCAGGGAGGAGTTGCCCGTGGGGCTGGAGAAGTGCTGCAACATCCGGCTCACCGACGACGAGATGGAGATCCGGCTGAGGTGGAGGCCGGTGGACTTGGTGGCTGAGGCGGCGGATGCGGATCGGGGCTTGCTGTTCTCGTTCTCGTTTTCATCTGTGCCCTCATCCTCGCCCTCGTTGCAGCTGCCCTCGCTGCTGTCCTCCTCGAACTGCAGCTGCGGATGCAGTTGCTCCATGGCGCTGCCTGGTCGGTAGACTGCGTCCACATAGATGTGGCCCTGCTGATCGTAAAAGTCCAGGCCAGGCGAGTACCGCGAACAGGCCGAGGCACTCGAGGTCCTGGAGGTGTGCTCCAAATCCAAGCTGGATCCATTGATGGGACACTCGTGGCTGCCGCGCTCGTAGCTCAGGCTGAAGGAGTCTGTGGAGCTGCTGCGAATGTCGTCCTGGCTGCTGTAGACGGTTTCATTCAAATGGTGTTGATGGTGGAAGTGCCTGCCCAAGTGCTTGCTGAGCAGCTGCAGCAGGCTCCGGGAGCGGGACAGTTTTTTGGGTCCGCTCCTGGAGTGGAGGTGATGGTGCAGCTCCTTCTGCTGCTGCTTGCCCAGATCCATGGAGGAACTGGCCGCCGAACTGCCGCTGGAGCTCGACTTGGAGCCGCTGTTTGGTGAGAGTGTATCCATTTTAAATGTTTTTGTGATTTTAGTTCACTTTTTGGCACTGAGACACTTTGATTTTTGGTCAAATCAGTTCGTTTGTAAGAGAGACGAGTTTCTTATTTGGCAATAACTGTTTTTAGAGGAACTGGATGCTGGCCAACGCGACACGTTGAAGTCTGACTGAAGACTGCCTCTGGCAGGCGATGGGCACCCGCTTTTATACAGCTCCTCAATGTCGTGGCAGCTTCGCCTCTAACCTTCGCCCCCACGAGGACATTTGAATGGTTCGGCTCACACTTCGGCTGGCCGAAGGATACTCGCCTGTCATACTGACACACACCCATCGCCATTCAGTGCCCTGAGCGCGGTCGAGAAGGACGCACCAGGTCTCCCCAGGACTAGGACTCGCATTTTCCCTTCGACTCTGAAGTAGGAAACCTGTTGCTCCTCTGGGCTTTTCCACTCAACGTGACTGCTGATGCTTCCCCTTTTGGCAACTGGCGAACAAAGCCAAGTTAAAAGCCAGCCACACTTTGGCCGAGCAGGTTGCACTTTTGAGTTTTTGTCATTGTTGTGCGTGATTGGGAACGTGATCCGACCACGTCACTCACAGAAGGTGTCCTCCTGCACTGGGAAAGGGGAAAATCGGCAGCTACTAAGTTTAGTTTTTAGGCAGACTCTTAGATTTTAGTTTGAAAGACATGTAAATACTATTTAAGCATTTAAGCTATTACAAAAATATATTTATTTAAATTGCATATTCCTGGAATGCGTTTCTCTGTTTAAATTTATTATCTTGCCCTCTTGAGAAGCATATTAAAATCAATACCCCTTTTCCCTTAGTGTTTCCTCACTATTCACGTGAAATAGTTTGTAGGTCTCAAGTTTTCAAACGTGGCGGCGTCGCATGTCGAACTGGACCGTATGTGATTGACTCACGAGGTTATCGACAGAAAAAGGAGGAAATTCAGGACGTTTAAAGGAGCTCCTCTAATTGGAGACAACTACTGACAATTGCAAGTGTATTGATTTCGGAAGAGACTTCACGTTTTGCAAACGCATTGCGATTATGCAGAGCCCACGGAAAACCGGACTTCTATTTATAAGTGAGACATCTGCGAGGATATTAGCATAATCAAGGACTGCAAAATGTCAAGCTTAAAATAAACCGAATGATGTGATTAGCTTGATGGTAGATGCCAAAGGTCAGTGGAATTTGGTTGCTCCAAATCCAAATCAATTTATATCTCAAAAGTCAATCAAAACTAAACTATTAAGTAGCTGATGTTGAGTGCATCTTTCGCTTGTAAGTCCTGTTGAAGGACACACTGATAGCCCTTGAGGTGAACCAATCACAGTGGGGCTTGCGTTGGAGATTCGAAAATCCTTTTCAATGAAATTCAGTCACTGGGTCACCGCAGTCCCTGGGCCAAATGTCACGTAAACATTTAGGAGCCAGCCAGGTAAGAACCACCTGTTGTGGGATAAAAAAAAAGGCTTACCAGTGCGTGCCGAGAATAAGAGTAAAAAGTCTTTAGTACAATTATCGTTTCTATTTTCCGGGGATTTAAAATGTATTTCAAAGCAGGAACGGGGTTAGTGACAAGGCGCCAATTCCAACGTCGAGAGCTCCGTAGCGACTGCCAGGACTATAGGGATATCGGTAGGGGACCGGGCCGTTCTGGTAGTAGAAGCTTGCGCCATTTTGGTACGGACTCCCGTAGTAGTTGTCGTAGTAGGGTCCTGGCCCAGGTCCCAGGTAGCTCGGCTGGTGGTAGCTGACCCCAAAGGAGACCACTGGCTTGGCCTTGACACAGGAGGTGGCCATCACGGTGGCCACAAGCAAAGTAAACTGAAATGGTAGGATATTTACATGCAAAGGCTACAGGAATCGTGATTTTGTGTTGCCTACCCAAAGATAATTGCGCATTTTCTCCAACAACCTGCAAACTGCGTCGTCCAGAGTCTTTTACACTTTAAGCTCGTCTCCGCATTTCCAAAGGCCTTTTATACGAGGCACTGGGTGCTCTTGCCAAATCCTGTTTGGGTAAACAACTTGGCGGTCTCCTCCGCCCATCCATCCATCTAGTTCTAGACCGATTCTAGTCCATTCCTTTGCCCGCTGTGGTCACGACTCTGAGTGGCTGTCCGCATAGATTTGCCTCGGCTCCTTTTCCTTTTAGCCATTAATTGGACATTGGGAAACCTTGAACTGGCACAAGCATCGAATCAGATGGGTTGCAGATACGCTGTTGCATATATGCTGATGTTGCAGCAATGGCAACAGGTTTTCAAGCGTCTCCACTTCCCCAGATGCCCATGTCCCCCGACGCGGGAGATGCGTTTCTGTAAACTGATATTGATGGCAAAACTGTGCAGATCGGACAAACCCTCCAAAGCCACAAGCACACTAATCAGTGGCCTCACTGGATGGACTGGGAGGAACTTCTAATTTGCTTTGCATAATGAACATGGTCCCTCAATCTGGTTTCATAACCACTCCTCTGTGGGTATTGATGGCTTAATAATATACTGTAATTGTGAGGATTCTGAGCTTTGCTCTTTCTGTTTGTCTGACATACAAATTTAGACAAAGACTTTGTCAAGCTGTGTTAAGCTACTATACGATTTAACTTATTATCTCTAAGCCTTGTTTAAAATATCGGTCAATCTTATGTCTCTAATCTTAACATAACCAAGTCCATCTAAAAGGATAAGTATATACTTTTTCCCTAACATTTCTGATCCACAAATATAGCCACACCTTTGGCGCACATTGTTTGTTTGTATCGAAGTATCAATGGCAATCGAAGCAATCAAATATTAATTAGTATATATGATTAGATTTGCGTTTTTGGTTTCCCGTTTTGGGCATTTGCGTATGTCCCCCCATTGGCTGCCATGTGACTAGCCCCGGGTCACGTTCTCGGGTTTTTTTCTTCGAAGAAAGTTCTTCAAGTGCCCGGGCATAGGGCTGGGGGAGCCGACTGCCACGCTTCAGTTTCCCAGGTCACATTGCACTCGATTGCAGGACTTTAAGGGCTTCTCTTCGCACCTAGTGACGTACGTCACGAGCAGCCGTTTGAGTCTTGATTTATTGCCACTTTGCTGCCAATTGGTTAAATTTAGACAGGCACAGGCCTCCCAACGCATACGTAGGTGACGGCTGACATGGCTGAAAAAGTGTAAACAAGGCGGCACATGAGGCACATGGGGCAGGGAACTCAACCGGCGATATTCGATATAGAGCCAATAGAGCATTGTTTATTTTTTCGGAGGTCTCCAGCCGAACAATAGGAGGCCAACAGTTCAACAGACAGCAGGTGACCTAGGTCACTCGGGGCGGGACTCTGCTGGGTAGTAGGGAAGTTGTTTTCGGAGCACAATAGGGGTCATCCAGCTAGCCGAGTAAAACCCATTTAAATGATGCGAAGTGGTCGAACTTTATTCAAATTTCACTTGGTTACAACTTGGTTATCTGTTTCACTGGAAGATTTCCCCTCCATGTGGGTTTATTGCTCTCCACCGCTCAGTAGATGTACTCATAGGTCAGGGGCTTGTAGTCGCTGCGGTATTGCTGTTGGAAGGAGTGCGGGGTCTCGACACTGTGGTAGAGGTGCGACTCGGCAGCGGCCGGGGCCACCAGACGGGAGTAGGCCAGGGGCAGGACGGCGGAGGTCCTGGCGTAGGCTGAAGGATAGTAGCCATAGGTCGGGGTGTAGTAGGTGTACACCTCATGGCCCAAAGCCAGACCCAACAAACAGGCGAGGATTAGCTGTTTCGAGAGAAATAAATAGAAGTATAAAATAGACCATTTTTCTTTTTTACAACTTACCAGCTTCATTGCGGTTGATGTAGTCCTGGGGCGATCACTGATCACACTGAATCCCGGCTGCTGGTGGATCACGGCTTTTATAGCTCCTCATCCAGACCTTCACTTTTTCCCTGGTGGCCAAGGTCAAAGGCATTTGGCTGGCAGGCGGCAAATGAAAGAAGCCCTTAACTCACTTTGAATGGACCACCAGATGCAATTGCAATTGCCAGGGAAACCCGTTCCTGCCACTTAGAATCTAGATGCGAATCGCATTGTCGTGAGTGAGGCTGACAAGACAGGGAATCTTGCAACGCCACCGAATCAACAGAGCCTGCCACAATGCCCTCTGGCTCTATTCTTTCCTGCCATTGCAAGCGAAATGTTCTTTCCACACTTGAGAAAAAATGTACTTAAATTCAAAGCAGACCATCAATAGATAAATATTTTAAGCAAATAATATTTTTCTATTCCACTTAGAAAGGATAAATAAAGTGCCTAATAATACTTTATCCAGAATCATTTTTATTCCTTCTTAATACACTTCTTTCGTAGCCCAAAAATTTCCCATTATAATGGGATAGATTATAAAATTGTATCTCCCTCTAAAATTTACACAATTTACTACTCCTTGAACGAAAGTGCAAATCCAACAATCCTACACCCCGGTTACTATAAGAAAAATATTCATCACTCTGTTAATACTTGAAAGATCTTCGAGTGGAAACATTTTCCATCAAATACTTATAAACTTAAATCTGACCCCGATTTTGCTTCTTTTAAGTGGTAATATCAACTCTTTTGTCAAAAACCTTAAAAATGTGTAGTTCTTTAATTTTGTTGATGGAAGCGGATTGAAGCCCTGTTTCACAAATGGTGCTAAAATTTTCATCGGATAAGAAATGAGTTATAATCTAAAATGTGTTTTTTTTTAAATCTTTCATTTTGGCCAAATTCTATCTTATCATTCCATCGCTTCTCTGTGCAGGGCGAAAGAAAATAAAAGCTTTCTTTAGAAACTGACCATTTTAAAAAATTTTTTACCGCCAAAGAAGGACTACAAGTGTATAATTAGGTCTTCCCCTTATTTTGTAAGCTCTGCCCTGCTTTCCTTAAAATCAATATTTCCTGATAGCGCATAATATAAAAACTGTTTCAATAGCCCAGAATCTTAATCCCTATTTTCCTCGAGTGGTTGGCCTTGAATAAGTCGCAAATGTACTCCTCTCTTTTCTGATTTTATGTTTACTTCCTTTGATTTGGCTTGGTCCTGGTGCCCAAAATAAACAATTAAGAGCTGGCGGAGCGGAGGAGGACGCACTTCCGGTATTTTCGGTTTCTTGGTCGAGAGGCTTTCAAGGTCAAGGATTGGGAGGGCTGTGGGCGCTGAACACATAGCCAAGTTTCCTTTTGTCTTGACACCAATAAAAACAAACTCCCACGCCAAACTCAATTAAATGAGTGTATTGTTTATACCAAACTGAGTGTACCATTGAATGTTTTCCTATTTTCGTGGCTTGTTGATTTGTTTATCGCCGGTGTATTGCGCAGTTTCCGCAATGGATTATTTTCGTTTTGGTCGGCTTTTTTTTTTTAAAGCTTTGCGGTGCTGCGTTTGAAAATATCCACATCGCATCTGGGGCGGTGGTGCAGTTCTCCACCCAACTGTATTTTTCTGGTAATTGCAAACCAAAGTCAGTCATTCACCTGAGCACTCGCGAACTGGTGGAAATCTGAGCAGACGACGTCCGCTAAGATTTCAAAAGTCTTTTAGGGTTTTGAGTATCGGACCAAGGTCGAGCCAGGGGATTGGATTGGCTTGCTGCTGGTGGCTTTTTGGCCCGGTGTGGCTTCGTTTGGGCCTTCTGGGGCGGGTTATATAAACCAAGCAGCGCGCTCAACAAGTCATCACAGCAGTTTCCAGCAGCTTCGCCGCGAGATCCAGTTCCAGTTTCGAGTTCAAAAAGTTCTCAAGCAATCAACGTCCTCTCAAGATGTTCAAGCTGGTAAGGATATCCGCGAGGCGATGGAATGGGTGGAGGACTCTTAATTAACTGAACACCTTGAACACTTTTGCCCCGCAGTGCCTGTTCCTCACCTTCTGCCTGGCCTTTGCCCTGGCTGCCCCGGGCCTGATCCACTCCTCGCCTATCCTGACCACCTCGTACCACAGTCTGCCCTCGGTGCGAGTGATCCAGCCCATCTGGACGCACAGTGTCGTGCGCCCCATTAGCTACGGCTATGGCCACGGCTACGGCCATGGACACGGATGGATCTGAGCCGATTTCCAGCAAGTCCATCACAAAAGGCATCCACCTGTCACCCAAAGCTGTTCACCTGTTTTGGCCGCCGACTGGCCGGGCATGCCTCCAATAAAGTTCTGAAATTGGTTTTAAAATATATGTGTCATAATTGGGTTTAAAGGGGATTAGGGATAATAGGGGGCTTCCATCCTTGATGATATTTAAGCAGTGATTTTTTCTTCAACTTGATTTAGTCATTGTTTGGAAGAGCTGTGAGCATGATTGTGGTAAGGTCACTGAACACTATTTCAAACAAGGATCTATATTTAAGTATTTTCTTGGCAGTTTCTAATAGTGTTGTTACCATTACTGGAATCAATTCGTTGCCATCCAATGTACATCCTAATATCCCCAGGCAGAAACTTAGATATGAACGAGGCTGCTTTTTACGAAAGTGAACCAATCGAAGTACTTCCTTTGATGGAGGATCCTGCCAAATTCTATTCTCCAAACGACATATTCGGAGATGTCCACAAGTTGGTCATTGGAGTGCAGAACTTTGTGCAAAATCCGCCGAGTTCCCTGTACAGTGCCTTCAATCAGCTGCAGACAACCACCAAGAAGGATGACAAGAAGCAGAAACAGAAGCCTCTGGGCCAGAAGGTGGCTTTTGACCCCTTCGGAAGTCTGGCCTTAACGCTGGGCTGGTCGGCTGGGTTTCAGGTATACAACAGCCTTAGCTTCAGGCCCATTAAGCTTCCCAAGGGTTAAAGTAACTGGGCAGAACCAGTAATGTAACATACCTTTGGGCTGCCAGCTGAAATTATACGCTAATTCTGAATAAATTTTTATATAAGAACTCGAAATATTTATTTGGTTTGGCTGGATTCGGTTTTGTTCTGTTTTTGACTTGCCACAGGATTACGTATTCGACCCGTTTACGTCTAATTTTAAATGCCGCACGTTGCATTGTCTAAACGTTTTCAGTCCGCTATCCTTTCACTGCACGCCCGGAAACATGTGTTTCGGGCCAAGGATAATTGGCCATGGTATGCGGTAACGGATAACGTGTTGGCCAAGTCAATGACAGAGATTCTAGTGGCTTGGATTGAGTTTTAAGAGTGGGAATTTAAAGTTTAAAGAGTGTACAATTTAATTCAAATAACCTCTATCTTTAAGGGGCTGAATTCAGGGCTTAATGTCCTGCCCCCATTCTATAAATTGGGAAAATTCCACCCGATAACCCAGATCTTCCAGAACAGAACAGAAACTATTTTCGTTTTTCGGTCAGTTTATTTCAATTTCATTGCGAGTGTCAATCTAATCCATCCTTTCCGGAAGCAGGGTCCAGGATACGCTCTACTTCTTCAGCAGAAGGGGGGCGGTGTAGGCGGCAGCGGCGTAGGGTGCTGTGTAGGCGGCGGCGTAGGGGGCGGTGTAGGCGGCGGTGTAGGCAGCAGTGTAGGGAGCGGCCACATAGGGAGACGCCACGTAGGGGGATGCCACGTAGGGGGAGGCCACGTAGGGCGCGGAGTAGGCCAGAGGAGCCACGATTCCGGGCTTGGCGGCGGCGCAGGCGAACAGAGCGAAGACAACGGCGACGATGAGCTTGAACATCTTGAAGGATTGGATTTGGTTTGCTTGTTGGATTGAACGAATGCAACTGATGTCTAATCCCGGCTTCCACCGCAGCTTTTATAGCCGAAAAAGTTCGAGAGCCCAGCGACTCGGCCGGCAAGGTCGAGAGCCGCAAAGCCAATTCTGTTGGCCAGGCCAGTCACGTAGCGGACGGTACTGTTCGCATTTAGGTAGCTTGGCTAATTAAAAACTGGGCCAAGAAATACCCAAGTGCCAAGGCTAATTGTAGGTGTTTTGTACTACAGCTGGGCTATAAAACGGCCTGTCCATCCGGCAATTGGCATCAGTTTCGTTTGTCACTCAGCAAATCAAAACCAGCCCAGCCAAGATGTTCAAGTTCCTCGCCATCGCCCTGTTCGCCCTGATTGCCTGCGTCGCCGCCAAGCCCGGCATCGTGGCTCCTCTGGCCTACTCCGCCTCCCTGGTGGCTGCTCCCTCGGCGGCTGTCTACTCCCGGGAGTACCACGGCAACTTCGCAGCTCCCTACGTGGCAGCCTCTCCCTACGTGGCCTCCCCCTACGTGGCCTCCCCCTACGTGGCATCCCCTTACGTGGCATCGCCCTATGTGGCGTCTCCCTACGTGGCTGCCCCCTACACTGCTCCTCTGCTGCTGAAGAAGTAGATTGCCCTACTGGATATGGACTGGATTAATAGAAATGATTAAATAATAAAAGAACTACTAGAAACGAAAAAATAGTTTTTTATTTTGAATATTTTAAAATGCTTTAATAAGTTTCAGCTATTTTTATAAGCTTTATTATTTTGTGCTGTGTTTTTGATGGACTATAAGGAAATGTGCACTTTATAATGCTACTATTCTATAAAATATTTATAGATAGTTCATTACTTTTCCGATCTTCTTCTCTTACTTCAAGGTCTTGCAGTTCAAACTTATCGGAATTCAATGGCAGGCAGGAAGTGTCTTTTCTGATAAAACCTCCAAGCAAACTCACATGTATTGTATCAGTTTCTGTTCCGCATTTCATTCACTTTTTTATAAGTACGATAAATAAGTCCATAAATGATGATTGACTTTTTTTTTTACATTTTTATATTATGTATTCTTATATTTGCTTTATTTAAAAACGAGAAAGATTGCTTACATTATTTATCTGGGTTTCTTACATGAGATTGTTTTTCGCTCGTATTTTATTATTATTATTTATTTTAATACAAAATCACTATCGAAATTTAAAAATGTATTCTTTTAGAACTATACATATTTATTCTATTTTCTTCCTTATTTAAATATAATTTTTTTTTTTAATTTAATGGAAATGATCCTATGAGTTGAAAGATCCTAACAAATTCGATTCTCAAATTAAAGTTACAGGACTTACATAGATATATTATGATTAATGTATATTTTTGGAATGATTATGATTTATTTTTTATGAATATTACGCCAAATCACTGTTGAGGGTAAGATTTGCATCCATTGTGGCGGTGGATCGGAAAACAATGCTGCTGCGATCGTACCGATCCGAACGCCGATTCTTCAGATACCGGAGAGTGACCAGAGCTACCATGCAGATGATGATCGCGGCTCCCAGGACATAGGCGAATACCTCCATGAAGGCCAGGTGGCGTTCCAGATTCCTGGAGTGGCCCCCCACGATCTCCAGCTGCTTGGACAGCGTTTGGATGTGTCCCTCCAGCACGGACTCTTCCGCGATGAAGGAAGCGTTCACTGCAGTTTGGGACTGACTGATGCAGGAGACGTCCCGGATGTGGGGTGTCTCTTCCAGGCTGGTGTCCGGTTCGATGTTCAGCATCACAGACTCGGCCAGCGATGGTGGGATGAGCAGGTGGTGCAGGTAGGAGCAGTTGAAGCGGTTCCTTGATATTCCCAGTTTCTGGAGCATGGGGAAGGTCTCCGAGAAGGTGCGATTTCCCTGGAGCTCGGTCAGTTCGTTTCCGTCCACCAGGAACTTCTTCAGGTTCGTCAGATAGGGCACGAACATGTCCAGATTAAGGCTGGTCAGGTTGTTGAACGACAAATCCAGTTCCTCCAGGTACTTTTGTTTGGAAAACATTCCAAACTTGAGTTCACGGATGCCAGTTCCTCTCAGAAATAGTCCGCGAAGTCTCTTGAGTTGGTTGAAGGTGGTTATATTCAAAGGTCCGATGGGGTTTTCGGAAACATCCAGATGCAGTAGGTAGGCTATGTTGGTGAGGTTCGAGATACTGGTGAGATTATTGGCCCGCAGGTCCATGCTCTCGATGTGCAGGCTCTGGTACAGCAGTAGCTGGGAAATGCGATTGTAGCTGGCCCGAACGAATCTCGTGGCATTAATCAACAAGGTGGTAAGATTATTGTTGTCCAAGTGCAACTGGTGCACGATGTTCTTGTCGGTGAGCTTGAAGTTCTGCAACTGATTGTAGGACAGCATCAGGTTCTCCAGGCTGGCTGCCTCGGCAAAGGTATCGGGATGTATGTGGATCAGCTGGTTGTTCGAGAGGTTCACTTCCTTGATTCTGCGCAGATTCCTGAACACCTCCGGCTGAATGGTGGTCAGCATGTTGCCCTCAAAGGACACCTTCTCGAGGTACTCGTTGTCCTTGAAGATGTCGCTGTGCAGCTCCTTCAATCGGTTGCCAGTGAGGAATATCTGGCTGATGGTCTGCAGTCCGCAAAAGGCGTTGACGCTGAGGGAGGTGATGTCGTTGTAGGACAAGTCCAGGCGCATCAGAATATTGGCTCCGATGAACACTGAGGTCTGAATGGAGGTCAGGTTGTTGTACGACAGATTCAAGACCGTCAGATTGCTGGCCGCGCTGAAGGCGTTACGGGTGAGCTCCACGATGTTCGTGTTTGAGACATCGAGGGTCTTCAGATACGGAAACGTTTCGAACAGGTGGAAGGGCATGTACAGCAGGGTCGACATGTAGAATTTCATAAACTTGACCATGTTGCCGGCCGGTATGTTTTTTATGACCACGTTCTGGCTGTGGGTGACCGTGAAACCGGTGACCGTGCAGTAGGCCTCGTTGATGTCCATGTAGCCCACCATCGGATCGTATTCGTCGCACCGAAGGGGTATATCCCCGCCATTGGCCCAGGCATCCACGGTGCTCAGGGCCAGGATAATGGCAATGGCCCAGATCCTTCGCGATATATCCACCATTGCAACGAACCGCACGCCGACGCTTAAAAATGCAAACTGAAAATTGCCGCAATGCAAATTTCTTGAATGCAGTCCATATATTCTTATATTTTTCTTATGTATTATACTATATATTATATACTTAAAGATATCTGCCGAGTCAGATTGGAAGCTTTCCGCTGCCCAGCATCGTATGTCTGGATTCCGATAAAAATTGTCGGTCTGTCCTTTGTTTTGTTTATTTTATACACTAACCCAAGAAGGTTCTTTAAAATAAAGAGTCGTCTAGATTCATAATTTAAAAGATTTAATTATAATTATTTACTCAAAGTCTTTACTCAAAGGGTATTGAAACACTATTTCCCCAAATAGAACCAATCTGGAAGAGTTGCTTCTGTCTGGCGACTTCTCCTCACTTTTGCCTTTCAGAGATTAGCCGGCACGCTTCTTTCGCTTGGTTGCGAAACCAAGAGCCGCCTTGCCTCATGTGGCAGAGATAACTTTGGGGAGCTCCAAAATGGTCAGTTGCATATCAAGGGGGTCAGTACGTTGACCTTTGGCATATGCGTAACCGGTGTTTCGGTCAGTGGGCGTGTGTGGAACACCGATTGCGTGAAAACCGAAAAGAGATTAGATTCCCGGAATGTTTCAATCGCCGGAGAGGATCTGGTGGACGCGTGCGTGGGATTCGATTGCATAAATGCAGTTGCGTGGGATGCGCCACGTAACCTTGAAACGGATGCAACGCAATCGGATTTGGAATTTGTTTGCGGCATTTCATTGATTTCTGGCCAACTCTTGGCACAGGAGGTTACTCATCGTCAAATGGTCGAATCGGCGGGGCAATTAGCTTTGTCAGTGTGTTTGGACTCCATCAATCACAGCCAGTGGCTACTGGCCAGTGGTTACCTTGCAGCGACAACTTTTATGGGCCCACAATGTGGTGCGTGCCCGAAATAATAGATGAAGCCCCCACACTACAGCGCAGTAGACGCGATCGACCTCCCAAAATGCGACGGCACGTAGCACGCGGCAACGGCAAATCGGAGCCCCCCAGAGGCCGCTCTGCATTCCCATGCAGGCGGTATAGAATCATTCGCCCAAATCGATTGTGTGCCCAGAAATTCAAGCATCCCCCCGGTCTGGTTTCGCTATAAAAGTTGCAGGTCGACCCAATCCAGTCATAGTCCAATTTGCTAGCTCAAATCAAACTAATCCAAAACCAACATGTTCAAGCTGGTGAGTATCTAAGCTCTAGAGGATCCTAGGGTAAACCTTATTGACCCATTAACCCTCCATCCTTCTTGCAGTCTGCCCTCGTTGTCCTGTGCGCCCTGGTGGCCTGCTCCTCGGCCGAGCCCAAGCCAGCTGTTCTGGCCGCCGCCCCTGTGGTTGCTGCTGCCCCAGCTGGTGTGGTTACCGCCACCAGCTCCCAGTACGTGGCACGTAACTTCAATGGAGTCGCCGCTGCCCCGGTTGTAGCCGCCGCCTACACTGCCCCCGTTGCCGCTGCCTACACCGCCCCCGTTGCCGCCGCTGCTTACACCGCCCCAGTGGCTGCCGCTTACCCCGCCCCTGTGGCTGCTGCCTACTCGGCTTACCCCTATGCTGCCTACCCCTACACCGCTAGCTACACCACTGTCTTGTAAAGGGGATACCAACGAAAAGGACATTGAATACGAATTGAAAAACAATGAAATAAAAATATTTAAAAGATAGACTTCTTTACCTTTTTAGTTTGGAATAATTGGTGATTACTTTTGAGGAATAATGTGGTAGGGTTTCATTTACATTTTTATGTAAATGTGTATAATATGATGGGCTTTGTAGTTGCCATATGATAAAAACTTAACATTTTAATTTTTATTATTACCATAAGATGGTAAACTTAAAAGATTCTGAAAAACATGCCCTGTCTGTCTTAATTATTCCAAGAACTTTAAGTTGTTTCCCCATGTTCTCCATGTCTAGAAAAAGTTATATATATGATATGTTATATGATGATCATAAACTTTTATATAAATTTAAAAATCATAATTATTTAAATGATATATTCCTATTCCACGATTAAGTAGGCCTAGGTATAAGGCATATATTCAAGGTAAATGTACTACGTACTTCTATGTTGCAAGAACTGAGTTATTATGAGTAACCCGGAAGAAATCCAATATCCTAATCAGAATATCAACGTGCAAGATATCTAATCTTATGGCCTAATCCGAAAATATAATCAATTCACTTCCGTTTTGTTCGGATACTCTAGACGTCCATTATGTGTGCCATCCCAATATTATGCTAATTAGTTACATGACGGCCAATTCCTGATTTATTCTCGTTACGAGGGTTAACCTATATTCTGATTGTTCCCTGTTACGAGAGTTCACCTACATTTCGGGTGTCGCCACCTGGAATGCCACTCATCTCGGAGGCGGAAACAAATGCCAAGGCAGTTGCGTCACTCCATCGATATGCAAATTGGAAAAATGATACGCTCCCCGAATCCCATAGATGCCAGACTCAAATCAGATTTCGTAGGACGAGCACGTGGTGTCCATTAGAATCTCACCCGCAGCAGTTGCGTCATGAGAAGATAATTATGCATCTCGTATTTAAATATATATTTCATTCAAATCAGACAACAACAAAAAACTGTAACAGGAGGAAAACAATTCAACAAGAGGGGCAACATCGTCCTTGGCGTGCGGCAGGATGGCCTTTTAGACAGGACCTGCCACTATCAGGGGGGGAATGGAGGCGCTGAAGCGTCCGTATGGCAGCCACGCAGCTGGGAAGAAGAGCGGATAGTTGGGAGGCGGTGCAGAGGTCACAAGAGTAGGCGGCGGTGGGGCAGGACCCAGTGGCGCAGCAGGCGGGGCTCGTGGAGGGGCAGCCCGGTGGGCAGGCGGCACATCTATCTCCTCGGCAGCATCCCGGATCTCGCCCCCGGCTGTCAGGTGGATCAGCAGGACGGTGATCACCTGAAATGATCACCGACGGCGTCGGCTCATCATCGTGGAGCAGGTGCATCGACTTCTCCGCGGAGAACCTCGTCAGACTTACTAATTTCCTGTACATGGCTATCGGCGATCTGATCTGATTGTGCAAATATGTTAGAATGAAACCAGGCGGCGGGCGAGAACCCAGCTTTATAAACTTCTGAAGCCTCCAGCCCGAAACCCGAAACCCGGCAGTTTTTGTGGGTCACTCCAAGAGCCGGCCTATGGATGGATCAATATCCAGAGGTACTTGCTATTCCCAGCACGGTCTCGCCATCGATTTGTTTTTCGCTTTTCGTCACGCTTTTAAAAATATATATTGAAAACAAAATGAAACCAAAAGTGCAAAGCCATAATGCTCAAGATTCCCCTTGGCTGGCTTTTGAAATGGTCTTGGAACCGATCTGAGAATGGCCCATGAATACCAATTCCCGGATCGCCTTCGTTTCGTGGCTTGGCTTGGGGCCTGAATTTTTCTCGACCGATTCTGCTATATAAATTCCTGGGTCTGGGTCTAGGAGATATCAGTCTAGTACTACAGAACCAACCGTTCACAACCAACTCACACAACATGTTCAAATACGTAAGAACTAAAGGATCTCGGGCTTAAAAAAGGATTACTAATCGTGTTCTATCCCCAACAGTTCGCTCTGTGCCTGTTCGCCATTGTGGCCTGCGTGTCTGCCAAGCCTGCCGTCCTGGCCACGCCCCTCGCCTACAGCGCCTACTCCGCCCCTCTGGTCGCCGCCTCCCCCTACTCCGCTGCCTACACCGCCGCCTACACCGCTCCTGTGGCCGCTGCCTACTCCGCCTACTCGTACCCCTACGCCTCTGCCTACTCCGCCTACCCCTACGCCGCCTACTACCGTTAATAAAGGACCGAGTACCCGAAATTTCTGACTGCCGAATCGTACCTGCAACAAGGATATCCCCCATATACTCAAAACCCTGTCCATCTATACACCCCTGCTTCTAGTTCGGCAGACACGTACCTTCCAACCCACTTCTGACTGCTGAAAGTTAAAATATGGGAACAGGACCCACACACAGGAAAGGATTATATATGTTGAAATAAATATTGCATTTTGCGTCAAACGTACAAAATTTATTGTTATTATTTATTTAATATTTAATCTTTATGTGGGATTGTAAAACAGTACATACTTTTAGGCTTAAAGGGGTTTGGAAAATGTAAATATTTGACTTGCATTTGTTTTGGCTTCTGTGAACAAATATTTTATATGAAAGAATCATTTAAAAATAGTTTGAGTTATAAATTAAGTAGGGAAGGTTTTTTTTTGAACATTTTATTAAGTATACGGGCTTTAAAGAAATGTTTTTGAAGTCCGATTCGGAAAAGTTGTCTTAATATTTGTTTTCTGATAATTATATTTTACGGAATAAAATGAATTTCAGCCTATAGCATTTATAATATTTTAAAATAAGATTTCAGAGATGTAAACAAAAATAAGGAGACCATAAGTAATAAATATTTTAAAAATAAATAAAAGAAAATAAAATAGTTTTGAAATTAAACGTAATTATTTATATTCTTCTATAGAGTTCCTTTGGCTTTGAAGTGCCACCAGATAAACTCAATTCTTACCCGTAATGACCTTGTTTACTGTGGAATAAAGGGGTCAACTAGTTTCCAGGTTTATTGAACTCGCAGAGCCCTTGATCCCTTGTTTACAAGTTCCATCGCCACTAGAGTCGCCTTCACCTTCGCCAAAGGGTTCAATCCGCTGACGTCCTTCGTCGGGGGACTGTGAGCTGCGGATGGCGGATAAAGCGTTTCTATTTTTATTTGCATCTCTGATTAGAATGCAAAGCGGCGCGTTCGAGTGGCTGACAATTGAAACCAGCTCAGAGGCGGACGCCGAAGATGGCCAAGATGGTTGGCAATTCACGCACGTCGGGTGTGGCAAGAGGGGGCCGCAGTGGCAAATTATGATAATTCAATCCGCAGAAGGCAGCTGCTGACGCCACTGGCGGAAATCTTTGGGGGGGAGCTGTGTGCCTCAGGAATGCGTACAATCTATGATCGGAGTAATTTAAAGTATGCTAGTAAAAAGGCCGAAATTGCTGGCCCTGATTTGGCCGAGCTACGTGATGAAAATGTGTTAGTTTGCAGCGTTTATTTCTTCGGGGAACTTGTCAAGGATATAGCTATAAGTTTGACTATATAAACTATGGCAGACCAAAGCAAAGGCATCAATCAGAAGTCTAGCTTCAGAGTCAACACAACCCAACCAAGCAAAATGATGAAATTCGTGAGTATTCCTTAAGAAAGTGGAGTAATCCAAAAACAGTTCCTAAAGAGTCGCATAATCCTTCCAGTTCGCCGTTGTCCTTTGCGCCCTGTTCGCCGCCGTTAGCGCCACTCCCGGCCTCTTGGCCTACAACGCTCCTCTGGCCTACTCCAGCCCGCTGGCCTACAGTGCCGCTCCCGTCGCCTACACCGCCGGATACGCCCCCTATGTGGCGCCCTATGCCAGCAGCTACAGTGCCCACAGCGTGGCCCACAGCGCCGCCTACCCTGCCGTCTATGCCGCTGCCCCCGTGGCCCCCGTTGCAGCTGTCCTGAAGAAGTAAGGAGCGAGGTCCATATCCTGCCAAGATGCCGCACGTGTGTCCCAGTCACAGATTCAGATACACGACCCGAGGCGAAAGATAGAAAGACAAATAAAAACGCAATGCATCAGGCCCACGCACTGACAAACTGAGAAAAGAAACTATAGATTCGTTTTTTCCGTTTCGGGTTATTCTATAAGGGGGTACTTACGATCTAAGAATGAGGATGGAAAAGTGCCTTTGGAGTTTAGATTTTTAAATTTATTTGAAAGGGCTTAGCTTTAAAAAAGGAGTTTGAAAAGAGCCTTAAATAGAAACATATTCAAAATAGTTTCCTTTATATCCCACAATTCTTTGGACCTGGTCGAGAGAGTATCCTCAGCCCACTTCTGAGGTTGTGTTTATTCCGGTTCATCGACATTTTGCCACGTTCCGCGGCGTAATCCTTGAGCTTTGTTTACACAGTACCCGGCGCATCGACGCCCCGGTTCAGGCCTCCTTCTCGAGGTTGACCTAGCCCCCCTTTTGGCCGGCCCTGTGTGGCCAGCTCGCGGCAGTGTTTATCATTTTAATTGGAAACTGCGTGTCCCGGGCCAGAGGTCGATGCTTGCTGGCCAGTGCAGCTATTGCGCGCCATTAAAAGGCGCCGCTGAAATTGCATTTTCTTAATCACAAACAATCAATAAACGAAGTCAGGCCACGCCTCAATCAGCCCACCTCGCCTCACCGGTTGCCAACTTTGGCATTAATCATACGCCACGTGAAACCGCGGCGGCAAGAGTACGAAAATCAAATCAAGAAACCGACATTTAACAAAGACTAAGTTTCTGCAAATTAAATCGAGTCTTTTGTCACGCCCCGTCCTGTTGGAAAAGCCCCCCGACGCCCACCTGCAAGTGTTTGTGTAGTTCTTCGGGCTAATTTACTTGTCGGGAAATTAAATTAAAATTTTAACGCTGCTCTTTTGTCTAGAATCTAGATGGTGACGCCCCTTTAATAAGATCACTCCCCTCGCGAGCACGAGGCGTCTTATAATTACCGAAGCCTCTAAAGTTTTCTTTTACCATTCAGTTTCCCAGGCAACAAAATGAGTTTCTGAGGAAATCAGGTGCATTTTTTTAAAACAAGGGGGCTTGGACTTAATTGGGTGTCTTTAGTGTAGTTGGTAGTTTCGAGCTCTTAAATGTATATTTACTTAATTGCGTTAAAATTAGTCTACAAGCTAGAATAGGATTTTATTGAAATGGTAATTGGTTGTAAGAGAGTCATATTTTATGGACTAACTAGATAAGAAGGTTTCAATATCATAATAGAAAAGATCAAAAGTAAGCTCAAAAAAGAGTATTTGGCAATCACTAGACCGTTTTAATTGCCATCCTTTGAGATACTTTTTAGCATACATGCTAATCTAAACATGGTTAGTTCTAGGCCTACATGGACTCACTGCGTATGCCTATATAATTACCTCCCGCTGATAACTGACTGCCCATGCGATTACAACAATCTTGTCTAATTGACAACTGAACACTGTCGGACTGGGGACTCGGGAGCATTGAGACGATAATATGAACGATCAGAACTTGCTGCGATCAATTTGCGGAGACATCAATAAAAAACCCGATCCCAGAGCGCTCGAGTTTCAAGTTGGGTGCCAAATAAATTGCATTTTGATTTAATCGCTGCGTTGCACAAGTGCCACCAAATTAATTGCCAGCAATTTTTCGCACTGTGTAGATAGTACTCGGCGGCCGCCGAGCCGGATCTCGGGAGGCTCTTAATTGAAATGCTTGGCAAGTTTGATTTACAGCCCGCCGAATCGGTCGAATTGGTCGGAGAACTTCGCTTCGACTTGCCCAGTACCAGGCGCCCACACGGCGTATGCAAATCTCCTGTGAGTTACGCATGCGAGTGCCTAGTACCTCGCCTCTGGCTTACTAGGCATCGCCTTGCCCCATGCCTCTTGCCTCCTGTTATTGTCACCAGCTTGTTGCCTTTCCATTTGCCCGCAGGCTTTTCTGGACGAGGTCTTGGATGTAATCGTTAACCCTTGGGTGATATCTGTGTTTTAAAGGCAGACTTAAATACTTATCATTTTTTAAATTAAAAAATAAAAATAGATTATATTTATATAGAAAGCATAAACTCCTAAAAACCTTAAAAGTCTTGATATTTCTTCTTAAATCCCTATAGGGTTAACTCCACGCATGCACTTATGGGTGGGGACTCTAGCCTGCAGGGCGGAGACTCCAACAAGTGCTGGGGCAGCCCCTGCTCCTTCCCCTCTGCAGTGCCTACCCCTGAAAGTGTTAAGTGCTCTGGGCTTGCGTAAAAGGCCGCTGTCTAAAATTATTCATAGAGTGGGTCGCTGGCAATTAACTGGCAGCCCCAAAAGCTCCCTCGGCATTGTGACTGGGCTGTGATATGAGTTATGGGTGCACGGTCTTAGAAAAAACACTTGCCAGCTACCTCTGCCAGAGGCGTAGTGTGCCCCAACGACCCCCCTCACACTGCCACGAACGACCTTGCCCACGTCCCTGGCCCCATCGATCGGTTATTGTTCTAAGTCCGAGTGCTGAGTTGCCCCACATATTACGATACTACGGTTGGGTCCGGTTTATTGCACCGGCTCTTACGCACAGGTGTGTGAGTGCCACGCCCAACATCTGGGGCGGCCCCTATTTTGTAATTAAGACCTAAGCTCTGAATGCTTATGAGCATTGGCTGTGAAAATTTCTACCAGCACGCATTCGAGGCAACTTATTTAAATGATTTCAATTGCTGGGCGGAAAAAACTTGTTAGCCGAACTGCGCACGAAACTAAAAGAACCCAAAAATGGCAACAAACAAAATGCAATTTAAATTTTTCTCACACACACCTTGTCTCCGGCTCAGGCTTTGTAAATAGACGAATAGCAAATTTATCAGAAATTATTCAAAATCAAAATTGTAACTATGATGTTGGGATTGACGTTGAAATACTCTTGCTATAAGTAGGCTACCGGTGGGAGTATTTTGCTTAAAAAATTATATAATTTAATATCTAAAACTATAGTTTATAGAAGTATCTGAAGGATAACATTGATTTAAACCTCTTTAAATTGTCGAACCCCCCTGGAAAGAGTATTTCGCCTAGTCTGAACCCAAGCATACATCCGCGTTGTCTGGGGCGGGGCAAGGCGGTTCTCTGGCGAGTCCAGGTTGCGATTTCCATCTCGATACCCGACCGGGCAGCTTTGCATGTTGCTCTCTGGGCCTCTGATTTGGTTTTGGCCTCTCCGGCGAACAAAAGTAAAAGTGCATTTGGCCAAGTCTCTGGGCCTGATATCGGGCCTCCAGCTTGGATCCGTTCTCGTGCAACATTTTGGCCAGGTCTTTGGGCTATAAAAGCATTTGTGCCCCAGACAGCGGCATTATTCAGCTTTGTGTTCTTGTAACGAGATCAACGAAACTCAAAATGTTCAAATACGTAAGTGGTTCTAAGGGTCCTTCGAAGGTCCTTGATTGACTATTTGGATATTTTGTTCGTCTCCAGTTCGTGTTCGCCGCTTTCTGCCTGGCCAGCGCTGCCGCCGCTCCAGGATACCTGGGAGGATTGGGAGGCCCTCTGCCTCTGGCCGCCGCTCCGGCCATTTCCTACGGACACGCCCTGGCCGGTCCTTCCATCGCTTCCTACGGACTAGCTCCCAGGATCCTCTCCCCCACCCTGGCTCACGCTCCCCTGGCTGCTCCGGCCATTTCCACCTACGGATTGGGACCCAGGATCCTCTCGCCGTCCCTGGCCCATGCCCCTCTGAGCTACGCCCATGCTCCCCTCGGCCTGGCCCACGCTCCTCTGGCTGCTCCCCTGGCTGCCCCTCTGGGCTTGGGCTACAAGTCCCTTGTTAGTCCCGCCCTGGCTGCTCCTGCCCTGGGCCTGGCCCATGGATGGTAATCCCCTCATCGATATTTCCTGCATCGCTTTCGTTTCGTGTGGATCGGAGAAGAGTGGAGAGAAGAACGTGAGACGGAGAGAGGGAGGAAGAGTGAGGCAGAGAAGAAGTGGAGAAATTTGTACAAAAGAAAACCCCATTTCTAGAAAGTGAGTTTGAGATTAAAATACATATCGTTTGAATTTGAAACAACGAGCTTTTATTGAGCGGGTTACAAGGCTTAAGCTTCTTAATATATATTCTCATAATTTCTGTTTCAAAGATCAACTCTAAACCTTTAATGACTACAGATTTTGTTCAGTGTTTTTTGGCTTTATTGATTTATTGACTTGCTGAGTGATTGACTGATTAAGGCTATCGTAGATTTTTTAATGTTCTTCACTGAAAACTCTCACATGCTGCACGCTCGCCTTGACTCCACTGGACTGGATGACATTGCTTATCTACCAGCCGTGTCCATAGCCATAGCCCAGACCGTAGCCCAGACCATGTCCGTAGAGACCGTGTCCATAGCCGCCGAGGTAGCCGTGACCCAGTCCATAGCCATAGCCGCCCAGATAGCTCTTGCCAATGATGGTCTTGGAAATGATGGGAGCGTGGTAGCCCAGACCCAGGCCCAATCCGTGGTAACCTCCATAGTGGCCACCCAGTCCCAGTCCCAAGCCAAGGCCAATTCCACCGTATCCATAGCCATGTCCTAGGCCCAAGCCCAGGCCAATGCTGGGGGAGGGAGCTGGAGCAGGAGCGGGTTCTGGAGCTGGTTCAGGGGCAGGAGCTGCGAGGCAGCAGACAGCCAGGCAGAGGAGGGTCATCACTGTTAACTGAAAGGGAGATGTATATGTTAATTTTTGTAAGTATATTCATTAGAGTATCCTTTTTCCTCATTCTTTGAAAATCCTTAGAAGTCGTGACTTACTTTTTGAAACATTCTGCTGTTTGTGGTTTCCTGCTGTCACTTTCCAAGCCGATTTAATTGTGTTGCTGTCACTTCTGCGGAGCCGGCTCTTTTATATCAATCCCGAGTGCAGTGAATTACATCCCCGAAATGGACATCGATGATCTAATGAGCAGTGCAACATTGTCGATCTGGCCAAGTTACTTAAGCAGCTTGCCACAAAGGCATCCTTAGTGGTTGCTGGAAATTAAGCCAAAGACTGACACCTGTTTGGGCTGTGGCTGCGGCTGCGGCTTTGCCTTTTGGGCCTTCATTGTATAATCTGCAATCGAGTTTGGCATTTACCAGTTTACAATAGTTCCAGTTTTCGAGTCTATGGCCTGTGGGCAGCTGCGATCTAGTGGGTGGCCTTTTGGAGTCACATGTTTTGACTCAGAACGGCTTTTTTTCTAAAAGGGGTCAACGTGCCAGAGAGGACTAGACTTTTGAAAAAGTCAAGCTCTGAGTGGCTCTCCAAACTGGTTTAGTTGGCTTTAATTGGCTTATCTAAAGTCCCCATTTACCATCGATCAAGGGTATGCCCTAAAATAATCAACACGCCGCGTTTGTAAACACACAAAAGCCAAACTAATCAATTCTTAACACCTCCAATAAGACGAGCTTCATAAAAATAGCACGAAAATGCCAAGATTGCATAACGATTCAAGTGATTAAGAGTTTCAAAGACAATAAAAACGGGGAAACAAAGCCAGCGACCGAGAGCCAAGCGACCAACTAACTCACAACCCATAAAAAGCCAAAAAATAAATAAAAACAGAGAAATGTAAAATGAAAACAACAACATTAAGCCATAATTAAGTGCACAAAAGAGTCAGTGACTCCTCTGCGACAATCTTCAGCGACGCCGACGACGCTTTAAACTTGAACTTGAAAACGGGTTTCTCCGCAAAGGGGACCACGACAGGGCCGAGACAGTGGGTAGTGGGAGATCCATGGCGGAGATGCTGCAACTGGTTCCCAGTAGCCGTGGAAATGCACCTGGGCATCGGGGGAGTGTCAACCGGTTGCTAAGTGTCCGGATGAGCCTATAAATTGATTGGCCTTCGACTGGCCGCGGCTTAGTCCAAGTTCAATCAGATCCAGAATAGCACCAGAGAATGTTCAAGGTAGACTAGGAAATACACTCCCCTAGATTCCACTTAACTGCAGTCTATAATCTATTTTAAAGGTTTTCATTATATTTGCCCTCATGATGGGTGTGAGCCTTGCTGCCACGGTTATCTACCATCAGCCTGTGATCTACCACCATCCTCTGCCGGTGGCTGCCACACCAGAGGAGCTGGCACAACATCCGGGTTACACCATAGTGGCACCCCTCACCAAAATCGCCCATGTCACCTACGATTCTGTGCCCATCTCCCATACTCCCTACGAGCATGTTCCCCTTTTCCAGAGGATTGGTCATGTGAAGAACAAAAGGTTCTAGTTTTAAGAATAAATATTAAATTGATTCTTCCCACATCTTTAAAAATTAAAAGCCTTTAATTAAATTTAAAAATTCATTGTTTATTCACCAAACATTGTGCTCTCTAGGGATGATAATTGGGACTAAGCCTACAAGCTAATAGGACGGATGAAAGGGTGCTGATGGTGGGTGATCCTTGGGCTAATTCCTTAGAAGAAGTAGGGGGCGGGGGCGAACTTGGGAGCAACAGCCAGAGGGGCGGGAGCAGCCAGAGGAGCGGCGAAAGGCGCAAATCCGAACTTGGCGGGGGCAGCGAAAGCAACTGGCGCCGGGGCAGGGGCGAATCCCAGAGGAGCGGCCAAGGGAGCAGCCACTGGAGCTGGGGCGGCGAAGGCTACCTTAGGGGGAGCAGCCACAGCGACGGCGGGAGCAGCTGGAGCCAGAGCCGGAGCAGCGAAGGCGGGCAGACCGAATGGAACCTTAGCGGCGAAGGCAACTGGAGCAGGAGCGGCCACTGGCAGAGGAGCTGGGGCGGCGAAGGCCACTGGAGCGGGGGCAGGAGCGGCAAAGGCCACCGGGGCAGGAGCAGCTACAGGCACAGGCAGGGGGGCAGGAACGGGGGCGGCGAAGGCAACTGGTGCAGGAGCCACTGGGTAGGCCACAGCGTGGTTGATGCGATGGGCGTTGAAGCTGGAGGCGTAGGGGGCAACGACAGGAGCAGTGGCCACAGGAGCAGCCAGAGGGGCAGCCAGAGGAGCAGCAAGAGGAGCGGCCAGGGGGGCAGCCAGAGGAGCTGGAGCATGGAAGGGCAGGAGACCAGCCTGGGCAGAAGCCACGCACAGAGCAACGAGCTGGAAGAAATGAATTCCGAAAATTAGAATAATCCTGGAGTGATTCCTGGCAGGTGCCGTCCTGGGAAACTCACCACAATCTTGGCGAACATCTTGCTTGGATTGAGGATTAGGATCTTGGGTGTGGTTAGCTTGAAGGCAGAGCGAGCTGTGATATCGAACTGGCCGATGGGCAATGCTTTTATAATTCTGCAACCCTTGGAACATCCGTGGTGGGGCATACGAAAACACCTTGGAAGACTTTCTATATTCGGACTTGATGAAGGGCGTTGATTTTTTTTGGGTTTATTTTAGGCTATTGGTGGATCGCTGTACTTAATAATCAATTGGTTGCCTCTTACGTCGAGCGCCCCCGAAAACTTTCATAATTGCACGCAATTCCCGACCATAACCTAGCCCAATCCACTTTATTTTTGGGATTGGGCAAGATTTCGTTTTGACCAGCTTATGACAGTTTGTTTTTGTCTTTTTGGCCAAAGCGATTTGGTAGTGGGTGGTTGGGCTGATGAGTTCGTAATTATTTGCCCAAAATACGTGATAGCCCGCCCGACGCCTGGTTAAATCATTTAATTGAAATACCACTCTTTGGGCCATGTTTCAGTTTTGTTAACTTTTTTTTCTTTTCTCGTTTTGTATTTTGTTTTTGTTGCAACAATTGTCGCGTGTTTGGGCCGGGCCTGTGTCTGGAATTTCTGATTTGATTTCTTGTTGCGTGCAGTTGGAAATTCACTAACAACATTTCAGCGTCTGGCCAGCGTGTGTGTGTTAGCCCGATATTTGCGGGTTTGGTATGTGTGTGCTGGTACTACTCTTACAAGTGTTTGCCGAATAGCTGAGACCCCATTTGGCGGCATTACGACGCGTCTGGTTCGTAATGAGAGACTGAATCAGATATCAGTTATGTTTCTTTTGGCTAATTTTATGTTGCAGCCAAGATTTGATCATATCTACGTCATTGTCATTCCATTATTTTTTAAGTCTATTACGGAAAAGTCTTCCAAAATCCCCTTATCTTTTGAATTAATAATAAACATTATTTTCGTACTTTGTTTCGCTTTTCTATAATTATTCGATAAATAGTTTCTATTTATAATTACTGGATTATTTTACATTTTCTACATGACTTTGATGATTCTTTGGTAAGGTTCGTGGATCATCTTAGAATATTCCCAGCAGCGGGTGGTGATGGGCCTTCAACTTCAGGGGCAGCGCCTTCAGGTGGAGATGGGGCTTGGCCAGCACCTTGGGAAAGAGGTAGCCTACGGAGACTTTGGTGGTGGTGGTCTTGGGTCCTGGGATGGCTCGGTAGGTGGGGGCAAAGGGCACGGCCTCCAGAACTGGTGGCAGCACTTGGTGTGTTACCGTGGGCAGGTGCAGCTCCGGCAGAAGTGGGGCAGGAGCTGGAAGTAGTGGTGCTGGTGCTGGGAGCAGTGGTGCAGGAGCTGGGAGAAGCGCAGGACTGGGCAGAAGTGGTGCTGGAATTGGAGCCGGCAGAGGAGCAAATGCTGGGGCCAGAGCAGGCGGTGCCGGAGCAAAGACAGGAGTAGGAGCTGGAGCAAAGACAGGAGCAGGAGCTGGAGCAAAAACTGGAGTAGTAGCTGGAGCAAATGCAGGACCCAGGGCTGGAGCAAAAACAGGAGCAGGTGCAGGAGCAGGAAGAGCTGTTAGTGGTGGAGGACCATAAACTGGTGGTGGGGCTGGCGCAAAAGCAGGAGCCGGAGCCACTCCAGGCAACAAAGGGGCTGGTGGTGGAAGAACCGCCTCCTGCACAGCATAATCCAAGTGGTGCGGAAGAGCGTGCAGGGACTCCAGGTGGTTCAGATGATGATGTCCATCGAAGTGGTCATAGTGGTGGTTGAAAAGGTGCGAGTGGGGCTTAGCCCCACTGCCCACCAGAAGAAAAGCGAAGGCGCAGGCCTGTTAAAAATTAAATTTTAGTTCCATTGAATTCCAAACCTTTCGACTTCCTTGAACTCACCCAGGTCAGTTGCCACATCTTGCTTGAAGGGGGATTGTCTTTGGTTTCTGAAGAGGATTAGCCTCGCGATCGATGTGCTCGACCTGTTGGCTCGACGTTCAATGTCTCTCCATTGTCCGAATCCATTAATATTTATAGGGAAATTGAGCGGGCTCTTCAATCAAAGACTTGCACTTGCTTTTCTTCACTTTCATGGGTCTCTGTGGGCTGGTGGTTCGATGGGCTGGCGTTGAGGCTCGGGTGAGGCAACCCAATCCGATTTAGTTGGTCAGCAGTGTCGTGACTGCCATCGATTGAGGGGCAATAACTTCTTGGCCGATTTGAAAGCACGGCCCATGATTATATAACCAAACCAAAGGCAAATCCAGAGCCAAACCTAGCCCAGGTATTGACAGATTTTCCAAAAGCGGAATATGATTATGATAAGCCATAAATATTGTTTCGATCGTAAATAATAACCGATTGCGCTTTAGGTGGCAACGCAATCACCCCAAAATTTATGTTGATATGAACCAAGTATGGCATATATTTGGTTTTAAGGGAATTCCACTAAATTATATATGTTTTTAGAAAATAAATCATTTATTTTATTTTTACTACAAGAATATGACTTGCTTATATTTGCTTTCCTTTCAGAAGAGTAATATCTGATTTGAATTCGTTGATTGAATGTCATTCATTATTGCTCATTAGGTAAGACACAATTTTTTAATTTATGGGTTCTTTAAAAATAACCCGGTTTTTCTAATTTATGCTTTGCTTATAAACAAATTTCTTTTGAAATATTGAGATAATACCTGAAAGAAAAAATCTGTTTTTGTTGTCTAATCTTAAATAGATGATTTTTATATACATGTTACCTTTCACAATTAATTGGCTACCATTTTGTTGGGCTATTAAATTTTTACTTCCATTCTGGGGTTTTTCCCTATAGGGTCCACAGTGATGGATATATCTTTCCCAATTCTGATCCGATTCTCAAGCGGAGTACCTTAAACGTTTTTTAGATCGATTCTCCACCATTCTGCATCAAAATCATGAGACAAAATATTTTTTAGATTTTTTGTCCATTTTGGTGATGGGATCCCTTGAATATGCGATTTTCCCCTATAGGGGCCACAGTGATGGCTATATCTTTCCCAATTCTGATCCGATTCTCAAGCGGAGTACCTTAAACGATTTCTGGACCGATTCCCCACCATTCTGCATCAAAATCCTAAGACAAAATATTTTTTAGATTTTTCGTCCATTTTTCATGAGGGGTCCCTTGAAAATGCGATTTTCCCCTATAGGGGCCACAGTGATGGCTATATCTTTCCCAATTCTGATCCGATTCTCAAGCGGAGTACCTTAAACTATTTCTGGATTGATTCTCCACCATTCTGCATCAAAATCATGAGACAAAATATTTTTAGATTTTTTGTCCATTTTGGTGATGGGATCCCTTGAAAATGCGATTTTCCCCTATAGGGGCCACAGTGATGGCTATATCTTTCCCAATTCTGATCCGATTCTCAAACGGAGTACCTTAAACGATTTCTAGATCGATTCTTTACCATTCTGCATCAAAATCCTGAGACAAAATATTTTTTCGATTTTTTGTCCATTTTTCATGAGGGGTCCCTTGAAAATGCGATTTTCCCCTATAGGGGCCACAGTTATGGCTATATCTTTCCCAATTCTGATCCGATTCTCAAGCGGAGTACCTTAAACGATTTCTGGACCGATTCTCCACCATTCTGCACGAAAATCCTGAGACAAAATATATTTTAGATTTTTCGTCCATTTTTCATGATGGGATCCCTTGAAAATGGGGTTTTCCCCTATAGGGTCCACAGTGATGGCTATATCTTTCCCAATTCTCATCCGATCCTCAAGCGGAGTACCTTAAACGTTTTCTAGATCGATTCTCCACCATTCTGCATGAAAATCCTGAGACAAAATATTTTTTCGATTTTTGTCCATTTTTCATGAGGGGTCCCTTGAAAATGCGATTTTCTTCTATAGGGGCCACAGTGATGGCTATATCTTTCCCAATTCTGATCCGATTCTCAAGCGGAGTACCTTAAACGATTTCTGGACCGATTCTCCACAATTCTGCATGAAAATCCTGAGACAAAATATTTTTTAGATTTTTCGTCCATTTTTCATGATGGGATCCCTTGAAAATGGGGTTTTCCCCTATAGGGTCCACAGTGATGGCTATATCTTTCCCAATTCTCATCCGATCCTCAAGCGGAGTACCTTAAACGTTTTCTAGATCGATTCTCCACCATTCTGCATCAAAATCCTGAGACAAAATATTTTTTAGAATTTTTGTCCATTTTTCATGAGGGGTCCCTTGAAAATGCGATTTTCTTCTATAGGGGCCACAGTGATGGCTATATCTTTCCCAATTCTGATCCGATTCTCAAGCGGAGTACCTTAAACGTTTTCTAGATCGATTCTCCACCATTCTGCATGAAAATCCTGAGACAAAATATTTTTTCGATTTTTTGTCCATTTTTCATGAGGGGTCCCTTGAAAATGCGATTTTCTTCTATAGGGGCCACAGTGATGGCTATATCTTTCCCAATTCTGATCCGATTCTCAAGCGGAGTACCTTAAACGATTTCTGGACCGATTCTCCACCATTCTGCATCAAAATCCTGAGACAAAATATTTTTTAGATTTTTGGTCCATTTTTCATGAGGGGTCCCTTGAAAAAGCGATTTTCCCCTATAGGGGGCCACAGTGATGGCTATATCTTTCTAAATTCCCATCCGATTCTCAAGCGGAGTACCTTAAACGATTTCTGGACCGATTCTCCACCATTCTGCATCAAAATCCCGAGACAAAATATTTTTTCGATTTTTTGTCCATTTTTCATGAGGGTTCCCTTGAAAATGGGGTTTTCCCCTATAGGGTCCACAGTGATGGCTATATCTTTCCCAATTCTCATCCGATCCTCAAGCGGAGTACCTTAAACGTTTTCTAGATCGATTCTCCACCATTCTGCATCAAAATCCTGAGACAAAATATTTTTTAGAATTTTTGTCCATTTTTCATGAGGGGTCCCTTGAAAATGCGATTTTCTTCTATAGGGGCCACAGTGATGGCTATATCTTTCCCAATTCTGATCCGATTCTCAAGCGGAGTACCTTAAACGTTTTCTAGATCGATTCTCCACCATTCTGCATGAAAATCCTGAGACAAAATATTTTTTCGATTTTTTGTCCATTTTTCATGAGGGGTCCCTTGAAAATGCGATTTTCTTCTATAGGGGCCACAGTGATGGCTATATCTTTCCCAATTCTGATCCGATTCTCAAGCGGAGTACCTTAAACGATTTCTGGACCGATTCTCCACCATTCTGCATCAAAATCCTGAGACAAAATATTTTTTAGATTTTTGGTCCATTTTTCATGAGGGGTCCCTTGAAAAAGCGATTTTCCCCTATAGGGGGCCACAGTGATGGCTATATCTTTCTAAATTCCCATCCGATTCTCAAGCGGAGTACCTTAATCGATTTCTGGACCGATTCTCCACCATTCTGCATCAAAATCCCGAGACAAAATATTTTTTCGATTTTTTGTCCATTTTTCATGAGGGTTCCCTTGAAAATGCGATTTTCCCCTATAGGGGCCACAGTGATGGCTATATCTTTCCCAATTCTGATCCGATTCTCAAGCGGAGTACCTTAAACGATTTCTGGACCGATTTTCCACCATTCTGCATCAAAATCCTGAGAGAAAATATTTTTTAGATTTTTGGTCCATTTTTCATGAGGGGTCCCTTGAAAATGCGATTTTCCCCTATAGGGGGCCACAGTGATGGCTATATCTTTCTAAATTCCCATCCGATTCTCAAGCGGAGTACCTCAAACGATTTCTGGACCGATTCTCCACCATTCTGCATCAAAATCCCGAGACAAAATATTTTTTCGATTTTTTGTCCATTTTTCATGAGGGGTCCCTTGAAAATGCGATTTTCCCCTATAGGGGGCCACAGTGATGGCTATATCTTTCCCAATTCTTATCCGATTCCCAAGCGGAGTACCTTAAACGATTTCTGGATTGATTCTCCACCATTCTGCATGAAAATACTGAGACAAAATATTTTTAAGATTTTTTGTCCATTATTCATGATGGGATCCCTTGAAAATGGGGTTTTTTTTTTCTATATGGCATAAAAGAGTGCTGCAATATCTTTGGCTTGCTGTTCTTTAAATGATTCTGAACTCTTTTTATGTTTTTTAAAATTCGATAATTATTTATTCAGTTTTTTAAGATTTGTCTATGTTGTTGGGAAGATGGGTGGATGCTTCCTTAGACAACCACTGGTGCTGGAGCAGCGGCAGCAAGGGGAGCGGCGTAAGGGGTGGCCAGGTAGGGGGAGGCGTAGGGGGAGGCATATGGGTAGGCGGAGTAAGCGGCGGCGGCGAGAGGGGCGGAGTATGCAGCAGCGGCCAGAGGGGCGGAGTAGGCAGCGGCGGCCAGAGGAGCGGAGTAGGCAGCGGTGTAGGGAGCAGCGGCCAGAGGAGCAGCAACTGGAGCAGCCAGAGGAGCAGCAACTGGGGCAGCCAGAGGAGCGGTGTACTTGGCCACTACGGCGGGAGCAGCGGGGATTCCGGAGACGTAGCGGCTGGAGTAGGGAGCGGTGAACTCAAAGGGGGCGGTGGTGTAGGAGGACAGAGTGCCGTCGTAGTTGTTGCGGACATCTACCTGGCTGCTGCCACCAGCGGCGTACAAAGGAGCGTTGGCGTAGGCGAGCGGGGCAGCCAGAGGGGCAGCGAGGGGGGCTACCACTCCTGGCTTGGCGGCCGAGCAGGCGATGAGGGCGGCAATGACCAGCTGGAAACAGAGGAATTTAAACATTATAGCATCCTTGGTGTGGGGCAGTTATCCTCTTGAACGGAAACTTACAAACTTGTACATTTTGCTTGGTTGGTTGGTTTTGTCTAAAGCTCTTGAGCGATAATGTTTATTTCCAGCCAAGTCAGTAGCTTATATAGCTCGTGCCCATATCCGTGCTCTTTTCGGGGACATTCTGTCTGAAGCCGCTTTTGGTCGCTTCTTCAGGTGGCCCACCTGGCCGAGTGCCAGGCAGCATACATGATCGCCCCTCGTCGCAGACGTGCTCCGCCTTCAATTGCCCAATATAATTTTCGGTATTGTCGGAAGTTGTCCAAGACGACGACGCTTATTTAAATGCACTGAGAGAAACTACCATTCAACCACGAAACCTATCATTATTGTTTTTTAATTGTTTCTCCCAGTGTGATGATCCACTTTGTATGCAATTGTGGGCCTGCGTTGGTGGCCACTTGGCCTGGCCGGCTAAACATAATTTGCAGTCTGTTTGGGCCATCAATGCTGCGATGTCTTGCATTGAATTGGACGCAATCTAAGCCAAATTGGCTATTAAAGACACTCGCCCCTCCGGGCCCCAACACTTGGCCGCTAAATGTCTCATTAGTTCACTTTTTAATGGCTCGCCGGGTTGCCAATAAAACTCTGTCGTAAATTTCCCTCTCATCCTTGCCGACTGGAGGTTGGTGTGGTTTCTGGCGTGTTGCGGTGACCTTGACGCCATCTGGCCACAGGATGTGACGAAGTTGCCGCCTCAGAGTTACTCCAAAAGGGGCCTATCAGTGTGAGTGGGTACAGACGAGGGGCACAACGTTCAAGAAGCCAAAAACCGGCTTGCGGACTTAATGAGCCATCTCTGCTTTCGGTCACGTGCTTTTTGCTGGCCTGGTCATCATCAGATGACTGCAAAAACGGCGAACTCGTAGGTTGCGATTTTCATTGTTGTGCTCTTTGCGATGAGAGGTATTTCCCCAAGTTAAAGGGGTTTGCAAAAAGGATTAGTCAGCTTACATCCTTATGAAGAGGGGTTTATATCCTTGGCCTAAGTGGCTTAGCTTCTTCATCAATCATTTATGAATTATTTTAAAAGATAACTTGTTTGTTTATTTGCTGAAATCAAAACACAGTCTACTTAGCAAATGTGTGCCAAAATATAATTAGCCTCTAATATTGATTTATGATTAATGTCCCCTGATTAGTCGTAAACTAGATTCGGTTTTAGAATCCAGAGCACTTAATAATAGACTCTAATATTAGTTAATACTTTTTTTGGAAAACAAATTCCATCACCAGAACCCGAAACCATAAATCAGTTTTCCCAAAACAACAAATTGTCATTTGTTTTAATTAAAGACCTTTGTCATGGCCAGAGCATCTCCATGTTGGCTTTAGCACTTTAGCTTCTGGAAACCGATCTGATCCGATGACGATTCCAAGGCCGTTGCGATGACGAGTCGAGAGGCGAGAGATCGAGTTGCCCCACGCATGTAACAGTATTCCGCATCCGCATTGCTGCCACTCGCCATGGAATTGATTCAATCTCGGTATCCATATCCACAGGTGGTACAGTCCACCTTTCAGCGATGACCTCTTGTTAATTTCTGGATTGAAATTCTCGACCGATGACGCGTCGATTTTCCGGTGAGTTAAGCGCGGAAATACCTCATCACACATCTTCTCGACAACTCAGTCCATCATAGCCGTCACCTTCTCAGATCTTCAGCGGCTCGGAGTGGACCAGAGTGCGAACCACTCACTTCCTAGTTAACCTTTCTGATTGGATTTAGAGCCTCTTCAGAAGCTCCATACCCTGAAGAATTGTTTGCTGCCGTCAGTACCGTTTCTTTTAATGGATTTTCGAAACTTTAATTTATGCACAAAATATTTAGATTCCTGTTTTTGTTTGCGCGGGAAAGCAGGTTCTATCCCCTCAAACCGCAAAATATACACCTATCTAGAGAGATCCAGATTCCCAGTTCCGTTCCCAGATCCCAGATCTGATCAATGACACTTGACTTTAATTGGCTTTCATAAATAAGAGTCGATAGACCCCGACTTGGCTGATTTGTGTATACAGCCCAGAGCTGTCCAATGCCAAGTTTAAGGCCCATTATGAAGTGATCTCTTGGCCCGATTTTTGTATGTAAATGCCCAGCTATTAAGGTGGTGGCGAGGAGAGTGAAAGGTGTAACTCTTCGCCGGCGCCGGAGACCTTCAAACCATTATGCAAATGCAGTCTCTCCATCGATGGCAATGAGACGAAAAATGGCCAATAAAACCAGACACACACTCTCGAGCAAACTAAGCTTAGATGGCAAGTTTTATTAACAATATGTATTCACTACGAGGAGAAGTCAGTCATCGCTGTTTGGTGATCAGTCGGGATGGCTTTGTCTCTAATATTATTATTATTCTAATGGCTGATGGAAGCTACAGCCTTCAGCGCCTCTGTATCTGCGGAGTGCCGTAGGAGGTGAGTCCTGTGGTGTGCGGCACGCTGGCGTAGGGGGCGCCGGCTTGCAGGGGCAGCTGTGCCACATTTAGGGGTGCAATACCAAAGGGCACTGGCAGCTTGAGATTCAGGGAGTTGGCATCCAGGGAGTTGGCAGAGACGGTGGATGCGGCAGCGGCAGTGGCACTGGCAGGTATGGAACGTCCGGATGGCTTGGCCACCTGCTGTATTGGCTGAGGAGGAGCTGGCGGCGCCACCTGGAGCTGTGATGAGGGTACTCCGAACACATAGCCCTGGCTGGTCAGAGCCTGGGTGAAGGCGGCCTGTTCCAGGGCAGGCTCAGAAAACTGCCGGGCCACTTGGGTGTACTGCTGGGGAGCCTTGGCCACCACCTGTTGGTATCGCTGCTGGGGCTGGGGCTGTGGCTGCCTCTGCACGACCTGCCTGTTGGGAGCCGGGTAGTGGTAGTAGGCCAGCTGGGAGCTGGGGGTAATAGAATATTCCAAGTGCGAGACATCAGCCAGTCCGAAGCTGGCCAGCTGCAGCAGCAGAATCCAGGCACAGGTTAACTGAAATGGGTTAACCAGAGTTTAAACTTTCTTGTTCTCAACACACACTCGCCGGTAAACACACTCACTTTCGTTGCCATTTCTTATAGAGTTCTTGTTCTTAATTGTTTATTAATATTTTAGACCGTCTCTGGATATGTTTTTTTATCGAAGATGTTCGCTGGCACAGCTTTGGCAGCTGATTAAAATTTGTAAGCCAGCTGAAGATGCTTTTTATATGCGTATCCGAGGAGCGCGATCGGTTCTCAGACCATCCGACCAGTCGCCCTCTCTCTCTCTGAATAAATCGCCCCGTCTCTCTCGGCCCCCGTATGTCTGTCTCTTTTGATGCTTCTTTTCGGCTGTGAATGTTCAGGCCAACGCTTGAGTGCAGGCCAAGTCGAAGCTTTTTGGCATTTTGTTGCCTTTGTTTATTTGCTTTGTTTGTTTGTGAGTTGGCTCAGCAGAGCGGTTGCCGTGCAGTCTTGTCTATTGATAATATTGATATTTGGCTTGCCTTGCTTATAAATCAATGTTGGTCATTTTTATTGGCATCCGAACTATGCAACATATCGAATTAGCAGCGGCTTAGTGCTATATATTAGGAGGGTTTAGGCCCGTCCACCCCTTCCAGCCCGCCCCTGTTCTCAGGCATGTCTATGGCGCTCGAGCTTATTAAACACAAATCGAGTCGAACGTCATGTGACAGGAGCCACCGGCGCGGCCCAAACATAAAAGCCATTAGCCCCCAAACCGAAGCTGAGGTGAGGACTTTTGACGCGGATTGGCGCGAGATTTGCATGCTAAAGACCCGATTGTTGGATCCAATTTCCCCTCCTGGGGCGGGGGGCTTCTCTTCGCAGATTGACCTCAGCCGGTGGGGGTACTGGCCAAAATCTATGCGCATCTAATTTTCAAATACACTGAGGAAAACCTTATAACCCATTTTATAACTAAGTTAAAGGGATTTTTAGTGGGTGTACGAATTTAATATTATTATGTCTTATTTATTTTTTTAAAAAGAATCTTGAAAAGATTTTGTATGTTCTATTTTAGTACAATTTAATCAAACAAATGCTTGTTTAATTTAATAATTTTTTAAGCCAATTCAAACAACTATTAACGCCTTTTTCCGACACCTTACTAACACGGAAGTGGCAAGTTGGGTGCCAAAAAGCGAATATTTGTATGTAAATAAGACATGCCTTCATGGTTTATAAAAATATGGGTAAATAGTTAATAGAAAAGCTGAGATACGATATTAAAAACTATATAAGATGCAGATAAGCACCTATTTATTGTTTATTATTTAAACTTCTATTTGTAAGCAAATTTTCAAGATTATTTTTCCAAGGTTCTATTGTATTATTACTTTGAATTAAAGCTCTGTATATTTATTAATAGTATAAAGCATAACAGTATATATATATAATATTATACAGCAACTATATATTTTCTTTTGTAGTGTATAAAAGTCAGCAATCTTTCATCTCGAAAACCGTTTAAACTGTTGACCCAATTGGCCGGCTCTCTTGGCTCTTTATTGAGTTAGGTCAGTTGGTCAGGGGTTGGTGGTGGAGTCGTTGGACTAGACTAGAGTCGCCAGATACTGTATGTCTATATCTCGGGGCTCTCTCTCAGTGTCAGGCCTCGCCTTTGACCAAAATTGGCGATGCCGAAAATTGCTCGGAGCCATGAAAACATCTGAATTATTTATGGGCTTCAGTATAAGCATAATTAAATCGATAAGCTGCGCGTTCTTCGCATAAATTTTCGAGTCGCGGATAATACAAAACATAACAACATTATTTAGATTTAATTAATTGCTAATTTGAGGAAATTATCATTCATAGTTATGCATAATGAGCCCTCTGAGCATCACGCATCTGGGATGTCTTTAGTTACCAGCCCTGAGCGCCGTAGGGCGAGGGAGGCGGGCCGTAGACTGCCGCTGGGGCGGGGGGTGGTCCGTAAACAGCAGCTGGGGAAGGGGGAGGTGCCCCAAAGTGGAGCTTGTATCTTCCATAGGAGGGCGAAGCTGAAAACCGGAAGGCAGCAGGTGGGGCGGCAAAGTTACTGATGAACTGTGGTTGCGGTGCCGCCAAATGGGGCACTGGTGGTGCAGCGAAGCCAGTGTAAGTGGTGGTTGTGGTCGTTACAGGCGCTCCCAGGGAGTACCTGATGACTGGCGGGGGTGGGGGCGCCGCATAGGCTGTGGCATACTTGAATATGGCCGGAGGAGCATGGTGGACTGGAGCGGCATAGGCTATTGCTGATGGAGGAGCACTGAAGGCAGCGGGAACGGTTATGGTATCCGAAACAGGAACAGCCACGGGAGCGGGAACAGCCACGGGTGTGGGCACGGCCACAGGAGTCGGAACTGCCACTGGCGAGGGCACGGGAACGGGCACAGGAACCGGAACTCCCACGGGAACCTGAACTTGCTGAGGTCCATGAAAGAAACTCCCAAAAGCAGGCGAAACGACACTCAGCACCGCACACAAAACAATATTCTGTTTGAAAATAAATAATTTTTTAAAGCACATTTTTAAAAACACTCTTTTTCAATCTTTACTCTTACAATTTTGAACATTGTGCTTTCTTCCGCTTTCGATTTCCGTATTAAGTCACTTCTGCTCGACACTTTCACACGAAATGAATCGATTTTCGTTGGCCATTGCAGGTTTATATACCTGGCTCTCATTATGCTAATTTCGGGGGCTGTCAGTGGGTGGAGGGGGAAAGGAAACTAGAGGCGATGAGTAAAAACTCCATTAAGGGATCTGCGCACGACGTGCAATCGACAAGCGAATCGTGCGGCAAATGCATGCGACAAGTTTTGCAATCAAATACAGGAGCCGGGTGAGGAGAAGTCGGATCACACACCTTCTGGGTCAATTAGGTTGCAACATTAAGTAATTTGTTAATGGGTTTCTTTTAAATAGCAACACACTTTTGGTTCAAGGTGCCAGTTATTCAAAGTCTTGGTCAACTAAGAAAGGTAAGATATAGATCCTTCAAAAAAATAATAGAAGGTCGAAGATATGCACTCTTACTTAAACAGTCACTTATGTTTTTACAAATCTAGCCCATCTGTCATAAAAAGACCAGTCTTCAAAATACAATTCCAACAAAATCCACACATAACTCACTATAATGTTAGGATTAGTTCAAGATACAATATCTTTTTGATAGCCGACCCGATAAGCCAGCCAACTTCAGTGGCCATTAGCATATCCATTTGTCCCAATCCGCTGTAACTTTGGCTTAACTTTTACCGCCGCCTCCAGTTGCAGCTAAAAGAGACACAAACCCAGCCAGTGATCACGTTCCAGGCACCTTTTCATGCCTTATGACTCTGATTGATGGCCGTTGCCGAAATATAAATGCCAAAATATCACACGCCAGTTAAAAGTCGATTTATTACCACCGCCAACAAAGCCGGGCCGGCACTTGGAAGCCTCAATTAGCCTCCTAAAGCCCAAAAGCAGGCAACAGTTTCTCCGGAGGAGCCGAGCAGCCCGAAAGCGGGCTCACATAAAAGGCGAATCTGTCATAAACAGGCGAAGCTCCCGCACGGGCGGCCAATTAAATTTTGGCTGCCAAATGCGCGACACGCGCTCATCGAAATTGTCAACAAAACAATGAAAGTGCTGTTGGAAGGGGCAGTCGAGGCAAGGATACTTGGCAGGATGTTTAACTGCTCCGGGAAATTATGGAAAATCAAAAATCGATATGTGCACCTTCGGTGAACTGAAAAGCCACGAGCTGCTTGGAGTGGGAGGCGAGTTTCGCGAATTTCCACGAGTGGAGCACACGCCCAAACTCTTAAGCGATTTTCATCGCCCTTGTGCCGTTGGCAACAGGTGCTTGGGAAGTTCGATTCCTTCAGGCAGCAATCCTTGTAACATAATGCCGCGTAAATCGCTGCACGTGTTTCCCAGCGACAAATGCGAGTTAACTTTTTATTGGGGTGACACGGGGCTGCCCCTTGACTCTGGGAAAAGGAGGCTCGTTTCAGGACTTTGAAGTCGCAGCTGATTTGATTTTGGCAGTTGATTGATTAAACACAAGTTATTGCCTAAAATTTATGCAATACAATTAATAAGCTTGTGAATTAAAGTCCTTTGAAAGACAGCATCCTTGGTACTACTTCTGATTAAAATCCTCCTTCCTGACCCACTCAGAAAGCAATCCATCTAACTTGGTTGAGATGCCCTGTGAATGCCCGTCTTGATTGCACTTTCAATTGAAACATCAATGAAACTATCATCTGCTATTTATAGACTTTTAATCCTCCTCTGGCACATTGCTCATACGCAGTGTGGGCAGTCAACGAACCCGACAAGGACAACCAAGCTCTGGATGCATCAGATTATCGAGTGCCAATCCCTTTCACAAACAATAACTAAATAATCAAGAGCGGAGGTGTCAATGCCCCTTCACAAGGTCACTTGCTGGCTCCGGCGTGTGCATTTCCCAGTACGTGCAACTCCTGCGGCAAAGGATCTGCTTGGCCAGGAACTAGTTTCACCTCTGAAATTAATTTTCCATCTTGTTGTGTCAACCTCTGCCCCGGACTCCCATGTTTCCTCAGCCCGGGAATCGGATTTCAATGCTAGTTTTAATTGCAGTGCCCCGGGATGGCACGAGTAGAGTATGATGGTCCTGCATCCCAGCAAAGGTCCTTGCCCCTGATACCGGGGCAACGGCTTGTTAATAATTCAAAGCAGAGACAAACGCAAAAGCAACTCATTTTCCGCATGGATAATTCAATTAAGCTTAGCATACTCTATGGCTAGCCAGAAAAACTCAAAGAAGAATACCCAGAAACCCAATCCGAGATTTTCGAGCTAAAACTCAAGAGCGGGAGAAACAACAGGTGTGCGTGGATTCAATTGGCGAGGCTGTGGGAATGCGCTGGGAGGTGCATTTTGTTGTAAGTGTGCCATGAGAGCACCTGCCACAAAATGCATCCACTTAGTGCCACTCGTCACTCGTGGCTGGAATGAATATTCAATGGCCTGGGAGATGTAGGAAGCGCCTCGGCTTCTGCCCACCTTTGTCTGCCAAATTGGCGAAGGTTGTTGCCAAATTATCGCATGACTAGCTAACGGTAACGCCGTCTTGCCAGACTTACCTGTGTAATTATGATATGGTTTATGATCGCGGGACATAATTTATTCGCAGTCGGGTCGAGACAAATTAAACTAGTCTTGGACACAATTGAGCTTCGTAGTTGCCAAGGTCGAAGAGCCACCAACAATGGCTTATTGTTAAGGGCGCCATGAATTATAAATAATATATTTCAGCAACCCCACTGTAAGTCAATTTTTAAATTGATTTCCACTTTGATGCTGCGGGCGTTCAAATCAATACAAGACTTTTCAATTTTCGCATGAATTATGGGAATGTGAGTGTGTGGTTTTAGCCAGAACTAGCCGACTGGCTAAAAAGGTAATTAAGTGACTCAATTCACTTTTGGTCAGTTTTTGATGTGCTCTAATTTTTTACTTGCGAAACTGGGCAAAATGCATTTTGTCGAGACGTTTGGCCAGGCATTAATAAATAGATATTTCGACGCACTTTTCTCTCCGAATCTTGGCAGTACCCCTCCCCTGGCGCTAATTTTGCCGGTCAACCTGTTGACGGGCGCACGCGTTTGTCGCTTGAGTCTTTCGTCTGTCCGCGATGATAATTGCCATGTGGACAAGGGGCGGGGAGTCGGTGAGTCTGAGGCAGGCGCTGCAATAAAACAATTTTTTTCGGTATTTTGTTTTTTCCTTCAGAAATTTCAAAACACTCGACGGGATTCGATATGAGTCCAGCTAGAGTTGCTCAAGAAAATTAATTTGAAGTGCAATTGAATGCGGAATGGGTGGTGAAGTGAATTAATGGTTCGGCGATCGAAAAGCAAATAGGTCGAATGGTGTGAAACATTCCCGATAATTGGAACTTAATTTAAGAAATTAAATAGTTCTGAATATATGGAATTCTTTGTTCAGTAAACAAGTTTTTTTTAAACCAATTATCAGATTTTTGGAAATAAATTATACTTGTAGTTAGATTTCTGGTAAAAAGTAACTCCGTCCTTCAAAGCCAGTAGCTTCTTTAATAGGTAATAATTGGACAAAAGTGGCAATTGGTCAATTTTGAGTAACCTTTCGTTTTAAATCTTTAGATAACAATTTGAACTAAAGTATGTAATTACAAAATTCAGGGCTAAAATTATTAAGACTATGGGTTTTCCAAATCCTCTGTATTTATCTTGATAAAAAAAAATGTTATTTGTTATTTCTGTGTATCTTTTTATATGTTTTTCAATAAAAATTAAAAAGAGTTCTTTAAATGAGAAAAATTTTAAGTGAATTGAACTGGTTTCATTGTTGAAAACCATCTTTTAACGACAACTGACAACTTGGATGAAGTTATACATCCATGGATGCTGCAGAGCTTTTTATTTGATTAATATAACCATTTGAAAAATAGAAAAAATCTTTAAAGATTTCAGTTTTATGCCGTAATGGTTGTGTTTTTTTTAAGATTTTAATTAATTCACCCCAAAAATGATCAAAAACTTATATGTTCCTTTTAGATTTATCGTTTATTTACAGAAAGTGTCGAAGCCACATGTGCATTGCACTCTATAACAAAATCAACGAAACTTGATCCTCCTTCAATCTCTCGCACTCGCCGGCTCCTGGTCGGAGCATCCTTAAGGTCTCTAGGTGTCTCTGTCTCTAGTTTGGGTCTACGGGATGTTACTGGGGGAAGCTTTTGAAATTTGTACACAATTCAAGGCTAGGTGGCCTTTGCGATTGCCTCTGACTACGAAATGCAAATTCCGCACTTTGACCGCAGCAAAGTACGAATTATCCATCGGATGTGGGTTTGGGTGGTCATGGTCGTCATTGGGGCTGGTCAGATGGCGCTGGCCAGGTCCTTAGTGCAGGTATCCGTGTCCGTAGCCGGCGTAGCCCAGGCCGTAGCTGCCGTATCCGCCGTACGAGCCGTGGTAGGTGGAGGTGGTGTGCAGGGCAGGGGCGGCGTGCACCAGGGGAGCGGCATGGACCAGAGGAGCAGCGTGCACCACAGGGATGGCCTTGGTGGCCACCTTGTAGGTGTTGGCGTAGGAGGTGGCCACGGGGTGGGCCACAGCGATGGGGGCGGCGTAGCTCTTGATGATCGGGGCGTGGGAGATCACGGCAGGAGCAGCGTAGGCCGGAGCTAGGGCGGCGCCGTAGCCCAATCCGTATCCATGGCTGTAGGGGGCGATCACTCCGGCATTGGCCACGGCGCAGAGGGCAGAGATGAGGGCAATCTGGGGGTTAAAATGTACTTTAATCCTATCCAAGGCGTATCCTTAATCCTTTTCGGCTTACCAGTTTGAACATTTTGCTGGTTTTTGGAATGCTTTGACTTCTTGACTGAAGAGCTGAGTGTGTTATGCTTAGACGTCTCAAGTTGCCGTGTTATTTATACCCGCAACATGAGAAATATTCTGACGAACCTGGCCAACAGAGCGAGCGAGAGAGGGCTAGTTGGAGGGAGAGAGCGAAGGAGCACGCCCCTGCCAAGCTTTGTGAATTCGCCGACCGCCGGATCGCAAAAGAGATCATTCGTGTCGCACCGATCGGT